TCTTTACGAGTTAGGTCTTAAGTGCCACATTCTTCCCACAAATTTTCTAAGCCTTTGCCGTATGTAGTACCAATGTCTTTGTTAAAATTCTGACACTTTCCAGCACCCAGCTTGGGGTTTTAACTTTATGCCATCTTGTCCCTCAGGACCTTTTGTGTATTGCTTCCCAGTGGTCTTGGGTCTTGTCTGTACCTGCTTTGCCTCTCGGATTAGATCCTGCCTGATTACTGTAAAACCTAAAATCCGGCCCTTCCCAGAGCTCTAAGTCGTCTGAATCGAAATCCAAAGGTTAAAACACGTCAAGCTAAAAGTACAGGGTCTGGAATTCTGGCTCCGAAGCTCCAGTGCGTAACGTGCTTCCCGGTGGGAATTAACCTGAGTGTCCTGATTCCGCGTAGGAGTCAGGCGCAAATAAACCCTCCAGTCAACATCAGGTACCAAAACCGTATGCTACTATGCTCCGCGCGTCCGCGGCACAGTAATGTTTACCGGGTTAGAGAAAGGGGAAAAAAAAAAAAAAAAGGCGGATGCTGCACCGCGATTAATTTAGTCCCTCTGGAGGCGCCGTCCGGACGCCTTGTTCATTCACGTCACGTGACCGAGGCCTGCGTAAAAACGCGACAGGCTGTGGGGGCCTGGTTAGGGTGGGCTGCCGGTAGGATGGAAGCGACTTTAGAGCAGCACTTGGAGGACACGTGAGTAGTATGAGTTGCTTGGACTTGTCGTGAGGTCGCAGCGTGAGAGACTTGAGCGGGACAAATAGTGCATGTTACGAGTATTTGTGATGAGGTGAGGGCGGGTAAACTCTGCTTGGGATTGTGAAGGCGGGGTCGGGGGGGGGGGGACCAGAATTAATGTCTTGCAGGGCTGCTCTCATTTCCTCAGGCCCAGAGCGTCTGTTGAAATCATCTGTACAGTCAGGGTAGTTCTTCCAAAAGTTTGGGAAACAGATTGACTTTTGGGAAGTATGTATCAAGTGTGCAAAGACAACTTCCGCAGTGTAAACAACACTTATCTCTTCCCGTGCGTCATCTTTTCAGCTACTTGTTTAAGAAGTAAATGTATCCCTTATATTTTCAAAGATCTATGAAAATTCAAAATTAGAAAAGCATAGTTTACAGGAAGACACCACCCTCCCACTGGTCCCTCAGCTTCTCACTCCCACTCTGGAAGAGTACTCTGTTTCTGTTCTGTTTTCACTCCGAGGTTGAACGAAGGGTCTTCACACTGAACTACATACAGCCCCAACCCTTTTGTTTTTCATTTTGAGACAGTGTAGCTCAGTTGCCCAGGCTGGGCTTGAACCTGCAATTCTACTGTTTCAGCCCCTAGAGTACTGCAATTACAGTTGTACACCACTAATCCAGCTCCGTTTTTCCAACAGTTGCTTTTAAACTTTGTATAGTAAAGCATGTGTCAAAAAAACAAGAGTGATAAAAACACTGCATCTTATGTTTGAAGCCCTCTAAAGTATTTTAAAATCTTTTCCTTCATCAGAGAGAAAACGATTGAATTATTTAGTTACAATTTTTTTCTTGGGAGTGATAATGAAAAAACAGTTGGACTGGGCGTGGTGGTGCAGGCTTGTAATCCCAGCACTCAGGAGGCTGAGATAGGAGGCTCACTGTCAGTTTGAGGCAAGCCTGGGCTGCATGTGCGAGTTCAAGGACAGCACTACATAGTGAGACTTTGCCTTTTTAAAAAAAAGTTGGAAAACACTGATTTTATAAAGCATTTAAACAATGCTTGGTACACAGAAAGCCTGTATGTGCTGTAGTTATTTACATATTCTTTATATCATGTTATACCTCTTTTTTTCTGTTCTCAAATTAGAATGAAGAATCCGTCCATTGTTGGGGTCCTGTGTACTGATTCACAAGGACTTAATCTGGGCTGTAAGTGTCTCACAACCTCCATCAGAAATCAACTCGGAGCCTGTTGCGCTACTGTTCTCTAACTTTTATTTTCTGTTTCCTTGCCACTTTCTGAGTACTTTTGTGAGTAGAAATTGTCTCCAAGAGTAGAAAATTGAAACTTTTTGTTGGCATTTAGAAGAAGTTTCTTGTAGGTCGAGTATAAAACAGCTGCCTCCACTAAAATGCTGAATCATTTTAAATTGGGTCTACAAAGGACTTAAGATAATGATACCAGTTACCATTTTATTGACTGAATTCCATATCTGGGACTGCTAGGTTCCATATACCTTGTCTTTAATTTGCTTAATAACTCTGCAAATTGAGTAGCGCTACTTGTTAGTTCTACACTTAACAGTAAAATAGGCAGTACAAATGGATTTTAGAGTTGGATACATCTGAATTTAGTCCCCTGTTCTTCATTTGCTAGTAAAGTGAACTCATACCCTAAAGAAACTCTAAGGGGCCTTAGTTTCTGCCTTGGCTTAATAATGGTAATAATTGGGGGCTGGGGATTTAGCTCAGCGGCATAAGCGCCTGCCTTGCAAGCAGGCGGTCGTGAGTTCAAGCCCGGTACCGATAAAAAGGAAAAAGACAAAAAAAAAAAAGAAAAACAAAAACAAAAAAATAACAGTAATAATTACAGAATTACATTTATCAAACTCTTATGCCAGTCATTAAAAGTGCTTTACATTATCCCTCAGAACAGCCCTGTACAGTAAAAAGAATTGAGACACAGTACTTAACTTGCCCAACCTCATATGCTAATAAATGATCAAGCCATAATTTGTATCTGAAAATGCAATGCATCTAAACCACCCTACTATAAAACACTCAGCAAAGAACCCAGATCATAATGTTCAATAAACAATGTGACTGCAGATGAGGAAGTAAGTCCAGAAAGGTAAGTAACTGAAGCATTCTGTTCAAGTCAGAACTAGTAAATCTAGAACTTCTTACTCCTGATGTAGGAATTTTTAAAGCTCTGAATTGCTGGAAAGGTAATCTGTAACTGAGCTGTTTTACATATAAGTCAGTCATTTACAGAAAAAAAGGCTTAATTTTTTGAGCCTTTGCTGGGCTCACTAGTAGACAGACTAAAATTCACATATGGAAATCTAAAACTGAGTAGGTTTCTTAAGAAAGTATGTCCAGGGGCTGGGGATTTAGCTCAGCGGCATAAGCACCTGCCTTGCAAGCAGGCGGTTGTGAGTTCGATCCCCGGTACTGATAAAAAAAACAAGAAACTATGTCTGGCCGGTGAATGTTTTATGTAACAAGGTGAATCCTTAGGCTTGGCTATAGTGAAATGTCTTATTTAACTTAGTTTTAGCCTCTTGTTGCCTCTATTTACAGACTCTGCTATAAACTTAGTGATTACTTTTTATACCTGGGGTGGCTCAAAATTTAGTTTAAGAATTTATAGATTAAAACAAATTTTAATAAAAATACATTTTGTTGACATTTGAAAATAGGCTACTTCTTGTAGTATAAATAATTGCTTACAGAATATTCACATATACTGTCAAGGACTTTTATAGTTGAACTCCTAAGTATAGTTTTTTGGGGAGTGAGGGGGGCTACCAGGAATCAAACTCAGGATCTCATGCTTGCCAGGCAGGCACTGTACCACTGATCTAAATCCATGGCCCCTAAATAAACTTTTATATCCTTTGATGTGGAGCTCAGTATAAGGAAATCAGATTTCCCATAAGTATTTAATTAGGGTCAATAAGTCTCTTGCCCTTATTGACTGCTGTTTCTGCCTCACCTCTAAATTTCTTAGCTTCAGTAAAAGTCCTATAAAGTGAATTTATGACTTTCCAATTGACTTGAATGATAGCTTCCTTATAATGTTTGAAAAGATGTTTAGGGATGATGATAGGAATGACTTTGAAAATTGAGTGTCATTTATGACTTTATTAATTGAGAACTGTTGCCTGACTTTCTTATTGATGTAACCAGCTCAGTGTCATGGAAAAATTGTTTCTTGTCAATGCCTAACCCAAGAGACTTTGAGCCAACTACCTTTTTGTGAATAATTCAGTGGGAGAGTATTTTATAGTTCTCTATTTATTCAGGGATAATCAAATGACTTCATCTCTTTTCCAGGCCGTGGGACTCTGTCAGATGAGCATGCTGGGGTGATATCTGTTCTGGCTCAGCAAGCAGCTAAACTGACCTCTGACCCCACTGATATTCCTGTGGTGTGTCTAGAATCAGATAATGGGTAAATAGATGTCAGATCCCTTCCTTTAACTTTTGTTCGGAGAAATCCCTGGGAACCTTGACTGGGGTCTGGGCTACATTCATAATTAATTCCTTTGTCAAAGTTGGCAGAGAGTTTCACCCTTTGGACCACAGAAGATAAGGTTACCTCTAAAGCTAAAATGTACTTTCAGACTACAGTGACATGTAATGAAGAATAATTACTGTCATGAATTCAGTATACTAAGAAAAAAACATTAATACATAGCATAAAAGCAGACTAATCAAAGAATAGAAACTTCTAAAATAATAGAAATGATATTCAAGTCTTCAGAACAATACTAAGTGAAAAACTCAAACTACAAAACTATGTACAATATGATCACAGTTTTATAAGAAGAGAAAATATATAAATGTAAAAAAAAAAAAGAACCGGGAAATAGCATGTGCAAGGCCCCAGGTTGGATCACCCACTGCAAAAGAAAAAATGAACCAGGAAAATAACAACAGTGTTTGTGAGTAGTAGGATTAAGGGTTAATTTCACTCTTGTGTTTTATAATTTGATTTACCAGTGTTTTCCAAATGTTTCATCATGCTCCTATATTGCTTCTACACATAGAAATATGTTAGTTTTAATTGTCTTAACCTGGGATCTTTTAATGTTATACTGAAAGCCCACTGGTTAACATTTTACTGAATATTTTTGTCTTTCAGGAACATTATGATCCAGAAACATGATAGCATCACAGTGGCGGTGCACAAAATGGCCTCTTAATGTCTCCTGTCAGTTCTTCAGCACCCCTTCATTGAGACTCAGTCCTGCCTGTTAGTGATCTTGTAAAACTATTACAGTTAAATTGGTTAGGCTCTTCCTCTGATGTGCACTGGGCATTTTTCTGTTTATTTTAGAGTAAGTGGCTTTTTAACCAACCTATCAGGATATTAGTAGAAAAAGATCATGTTTTGAGGCAGCAGGTCCAAGTTACTTTGTATATAGAATTTTACTTTCAATAAATCTGTGTAGAGGAAAGCTTACATCTTTTCTGGATTCTTTATAAACTTCAAATTTTTCTTCACAGTTATCACATAATTGTTTTCAAAGAGATGCCTGTTCCAAACTACTTGCTCTTTCAGAAGCTTCCTGAAATGCCTGTAGTGTCACAGAAGTGTCCATGGATATTTAAATCAAACATATTTTTCTACTTCTATAAAAGCTAGTATCACTGTATTATATAGGAGAAACTTGCCTCTCATAGTACAGTTGGTACTCTTATTTGCCATGTAATATGTATGTAAAACTAAGGTTAAGAGATTAAGATCATTATTTGGACTCAGGACCCCCATTCAGGGCCTGTACTCTTTTAATACTTAAACCATCAAAGAAATAAGCATGTTCAGCCAGAAAAAAGTCGTTTTACCATTTGCAAATACACATTAGTGTTGCCTCCTCTTTAGTGTTTTCAGGTTTCAACAAACGAATGGTACACAGGCAGGCACAAAGGACCTCAGTCTCTTAAATCTGAATACAGTACCTGTTGCTCATTAGTAATTTAACATTTTACATTAAAAAAAATTGCTTTAAGTTCAAGGCTAGCCTGGCCAACATAGCAAAACCCAGTCTCAAAACAAATAATAGGGGCTGGGGATTTAGCTCAGCGGCATAAGCACCTGCCTTGTAAGCAGGCAGTCGTGAGTTTGATCCCTGGTACCAATAAAAAAGAAAAAGACAAAAATAATAATAATTAAAAACAGAATTTTTGTTTAACTTCGAGTTGGCACAATGGTTAGACTCAACTGTCTTTGTTGATTGGGACTTTTTTAGTCTATAGAATGTGAGGCAATTCCTTATAGTAAATCAGTTTTAATATCCTCACCCCCACCACCACTAGTTAGTTCAGACTGACAAATACAGATCCAGAAAACTCAGACAAATAATAGTCCCTGAGGTTTGAAGAGTTACTAGGACTCAAAAGGACTAGTGTTTTCTTGTACTCATATAGGGCATCAACAGAAGGAAAAGGTGGATTGGGCAAAGTCGAGGAATCAGGCCCAATCTTCCAAGTTCTTCTCTCAGTGGAACTGTACGGTGTGTACTGTATCCCCTCAGCAGTGAACTGTAACAATACTTGTGAAATGCCAAGTATTGCCAAAGCGGGGCTAGTCACATAAGCACTTCCTGACTTTCACTTCAACTCTGGGGAAAAAGGCAGGGGTTCTGTACAAAGTAAAGGATTTGCACACATTTAGGCACAGTGACCCACTCATCATCTAGGGAAGGATGGGGGATCCTCCTGAGCTATGAACTGCCAACGAGAGGCCAATCTTGTAACCAGGGGTTTCAAAGGATAGGAGTCTTGATTAGCTATGTTAATTTCTGCGCAAGGACTGAATGAAAAAAAGCCAAAAAAAAAAAAAAAAAAAAAAAAGGTCTTTGGGTCAGGTGTTGAGCTCAGCAGCACAAGCACCTGCTTGGCAAGCATGAAGTCATGAGTTTGATCCCCGTTAAAAAAAATCTGAGACATTTGTAATTAAGTCTCAAAAATTATTCATTTGACTTTGCTGAGGCTAAATAGTGGTGACTTAGGAAATCATAACTATATTATCAAATAGCTTTAGGGCCCAGAGTTAGAAGGTGAGAGACTGAGGGAATTATGTGTAAAGGCCCAATAAGCTTATTAATTCAATTGGGTCCAGATGCTGAAATGTTAACTAGTATTCCCAAAATGGTTTAAAAATTTTTTGCTCTTGCTATTACGGCCCATCTCATTAACAATTTTTAATGAATGTACCAACAGAACTATAAATATGGAGTTATCTTACAATGTATTGTTATCCTTGAAACCTTGCAAAATAGAATTAGCCATATTTTAGTTTCAGAAACAGACTCAGACAAGGTAGTTTGACAAGGGTCTCCAAGCTTTAAAAATTGCACAATTCTAACCAGATCTGCATTTTTCCACTACACCTTGAGGTTCCCTGTTTAATTATTTGGAAGATAGTATTTGAAGAGACTCAGCTTTAAAGATTTTGCAGCCCTCTTAAACCTTGCATGCTTTTCTGTTCTACCACTTTGCAAATGTAGCCCCAGTTCTGGGCATCAAATCTATCAGTATATAAAACCTACCCTCATGTCATGTTTTTGTTTGTTCATTTATGTTTTTTGTTGTTTTGAGATAGGATCTTGCTATGTAGTTCAGGCTGGCCTTGAATTCACTTTGTAGCAACCAAGCCTGGACTTGTACTTAGCATGATACTCTCTCAGCCTCCTTAGATCTAGGGTTACAGGTATGCACACCACATCCAGCTTTACATTATGATTAGACAGCCCTACTTTTAGAAAGAGTAACAAGCCAGGGGCTAGGCCTAGGCCACATAGCAAGACCCTAACTCAAAAAACAACAGTAAGTGTGCCACCAAAAAGTTACAAAAATCCCATAGATGTTTAATTTTAAAATGTGTAATCAGAGCTGGGGATTTAGCTCAGCAGCATAAGTGTCTGCCTGGCAAGCACAAGGTCATGAGTGATCCTTGGTATCAAAAAAAAAAAAATGTAATTAACAAAGGGCTATCTGAGAAGGTATGACAGTGCACATCTGTAATCCCAGCACTCCAGAGGCACAGGCAGGCAGACCAGAGTTCAAGTCCTCCCTGGGCTACATGGTAAGTTTCAGGCCAACTCTAGCTGCGTAGCTAGACCCTGTCTCAAAAACTCAAAAGCCAAAAACTGCCAGTGTGGTGGCTCATGCCTGTAATCCCAGCACTCAGGAGGCTGAGGCAGGAGGATTGTTGCAAGTTTGAGGCTAGCCTGGACTACAAAGTGAGCTTAAAGGGGCTGGGGATTTAACTGAGTGGCATAAACACCTGCCTTGCAAGACTGAGGTTGTGAGTTTGATTCCCTGGTACTGATTGAAAAAAAAAGCCAAAAACCTCAAAAGAGCTGTCTAGAAAACATTTCTTTCTTCCTCTGAGTTTTGCCCTTCTGTTGAATGTTTGATTTCTAACACCAGCACTACTTCTCTTGCTTACCTTTACAGACCATCCTCCTAAATGATTAAACTGTCCTTCTGCAAGCACTTTAATAAAAAAAATTGATTAAAGATTACAGAATTTGGCTTTAAGAGGCTGAAACACCCCTTGATTTTAAAAGGGAACATTCATAAACGTGAAGATTTTCCAGATAAAATAAGAAAAACACTTTGACCTAAAATACACTTTGGTTTAAGATCTGGAATGTCGGTATGGGGAGATGAAAGACAATTTCATGTTGACTTTATGTTCATTTATTTTTTTGGTATGTGGAGGGTGAGGCAGAAGGAGGAAATGAGAATAGAAAAGTTGAATTATCCCGGTAATTGTCTGAGTCTCAAACTTAAGTCATTTCCAAAAACCATTAAGAAAAAGTTTTATCAAGAATTACTGATAAATATATACAACTCTTGTGGGAGGTGTTTGACATGAAGGTAAGCAGGTATGAATAAAGCAAAGAAGCTTCACATTAGTAAACACAATCTTCAATGAAAAAAGCACACAAGTTTAGAGAAAATTGCCGCCTGTGTGTGCCTATCATAGTGAATCAAACCTAGGGCGGAACACAGGCAAGCCACGTGTCTACCACTGAGCTATGCTCCATTACTTGTGGGGCTTCGGAAAAGTGCAACTGTTTTACAAATAAGCAAGCCTTAAGAGTATCCTGAGGAACTTGAGATACGTGTATTGGAATTCTGGTCCCATCCCCCCAGTCTTGATCACACACACAGAAAGGATTTTCCTCATGGCTTACTTAACAATTACTTTTGACCCTATGGTTTAAAAAAAAAAAAAAAAAAGTACCTTTTTAGGAAGAGTGGTGGGGGCGGGCCTGAAATGTTCTCGAGTTTCAGCCTTTCCTCTTTCCCTCGGGAAGTAAAGTCCGCAGCGGGAGGGCCTAACCTAACTAGCTCAGCCCGCGGCTCTACAGTGCTCACTTGTTTTCACAGGGCAGCAGAACGAAATGCCTTAGAAAAAGAATAACATTCTAACAAATAATATCACTTATTTTTGCTTTTAAATTGCCCTGACTGTACCTGAGGATCCTTTGCTGAAAACCACATCAAAGGTAAGGTAGAAAGGGATGATGTGTTGGGTTTGTTTTCTCTGAGGCCTGGAACGACCCGCATCTCTGCTTCCAGCCTGCTTTGAGGACAGCCATTGCACCTCACTTCTGGCTGATAACTCTCCTTTCCAGAAAGAAACTGCCTGCCTTCAAGCTGACAGTGGCAAACAGTGAATGCTGCACCCCTTTTTCAGAACATTTACAATTTCATATATATGTATATATATATATGAATATGTAGATAACTTTACTTAACAGTGAGAAGGTAGCAGATACTTCTGACACTTCACTGCTGAATACCTCAGCATTTCTAAACAAGAAGTTTCTTAATAACCATAAGACCACACCATTCTACTCAAGACACGTAATCTCAGTACAGCACACACTTATAGTTGATATTCGGGGTTTCCCCAACTGTCATTCCCATCTTTTCTAATCTGGAACCCACTTAAGGAACAGGTACTGCATGTTATCTATTCAGCTCTTTAGAATAGCTACAGTTTAGCAAGAACTTTGTAAAAGGCTAAACCCAAGGCTTTTCTCCTTTATTTCTCTACACTCTAGAGTTTGCTGAGACACATTTTCCCCTAGAACTGGCTTGAAGCTCTGGGGATTTGAGGACAGAATCCTAAATGTTAGTGTTGTGGCCATTTCACAAACATGCTCTGCAGTTCATTTTTTAGTTGCTTCAGGGAGACATCAATATAATTAGGGGTGTAGGGAAAAATTATAAGTGGGTTTACAACACAGAGAAAAAGGAAGTTTTAAAGTTTAGATCAATTCCTTGACAACAGATTCAGCTATGTCTTGAATCCACCACAGGGATCTTCTGTGTGATTAGAACACAAAACATCATGCCAAAGACAGCAGGGAAGACCCAACCTTATAATCAAGCTCCAGATGGAGGATGGGGATGGATGATTGTGTTTCACTTTTTCCTGGTAAGTACTTCCCCTTCCAACTGCCTGAGCTCTACAGAGAAAGAAAGGTTCAGCAGCCTAGCAACATCACTTGGGAAATCCTGATATTTGAGTGAGCAGGGGCCAGGAGAGGCCCATGTTGAGCCCAGGAGAAAGCTGAAATGTCCCCTTTGATTGTAAACAAAAAAGCTCCAATGCAGTACTTTACTTTTCTTCAAACTCTCTTAAACCTGGAAAATGCTCTTAGTCAGGATCAGTAGCTCTGTCCTGGCTGCATGGCAATTAGAATTTAGGAATAATCATACTTTTAACTAGTGCTAAAACGTGTCTAACTCAGTCATCTACATCTATCTAACCATGGTATGGGAAGTTCACTCTCTAGCTAGACTAAAGAGATCCTCCTCCTTCAGCCTCTGAGTACTGGGATTACAGGCATGTGTTTCCATGCCCATTTTCCCTGTTTTGTAACTTCCGTCATCCTTCTGGACTCTTGGGGATGACGTGTGAGATAGTGGTAATGTACATCATTCACAAGCCCATTCCAGAATACTGCTATCACTGCTGTGTCCCCAAACAACCATGTGCCAAGTGGTAGTAGCTCCAAAGTTTTTAAGTGGTTCCAATGTGTTCTTTTAACTTTGAGATGCACTTAGAAAAACAGCCTTTTCCCTCTGATGCTCTTTCCTTGCTCAGCCCTGAGGTAAGTAGCCCACAATGATAAGATATAGGTCCTGATCACCACTGACATTGTACAGCTCTAAATTCAAAGGTGGGAAAATAAGTTTCCTCCTCCCTAGAGACAGACAAGGAGAAGACAGGTGAAGAACTCAGCCAAGATTTATGTAATACAGCACTATTTGCTAAACATTAGCTTATTATCAGTAAATTCATAACCCTCCCCTTCCTTATCCACCACTCCCCTAAGAAATGTTACTCTTAGGGAAATAAGGATGCCTGAAGCCTGGGGGCCCTTCCTCCCTGGGCCACCTCCCATAAATGCTTTGCAGAGCTAAAGTTATCAGCAAGGGTCTCTTGTTCTCCTGTCTCCCTAGGAATCAGTCTTTTCCTATCTGTGAATAAGAACTTATTGATCACTTTAGTTGCTAAGAAAAACTCTCTAGTGATTAGATTAATAATGTCCATTTTTGGAGTGTGATGCCCCTTTATTAAACCATACAAAACAATTTCAAGATTTTAACACTGGGGGGCTGGGGATTTAGCTCAGCGGCATAAGCGCCTGCCTTGCAAGCAGGCGAGTTCAATCCCCAGTACCGATAAAAAGGAAAAAGACAAAAAAAAAAAATTTTAACACTGAATTTAGGGACAAATTCTTATAGTGGTAATGTTCCTCACAGAGAACTATGCTTCTATTTCTGTGTAAGTCATGAATATTTTTTCAATACCTCAGCTTCTGAAAAAGTAAATGAGAAATAACTAAAGGTGTTTTGGGGCTTCCTACTTAAGAAGGTGGGGTTACACTTCTAACTTATCCCACTTATTGCTATGTATTTACATAATTTTTCTGGGTTTAGTATGCCTCGTTGCACTGAACATTCCTTAAGGCAAGGACCACATGTGCATTGCTACCTGATCACTCCCAGCCCCAACGTTCAGCCTGGAACACAGGCACTCAGTAACTACTTGTTAGTGGATGGACAAAATGATAGGCATATTTATGAATAAATAAGACGGGGAAAATCAAGGGCCTTGTGTGACATGCTAAGAACATCTAAGACATCTTGAGATGATGTGTTGAGAATAAGTGACAGGACCTGATTTGCATTTCAGAGAGTGTTCTGGCTGATTGGTGGATAAGGAATTAGTGAGGGTTATGTCTTGAAGCAGGGAGATCCTTTGGAGGAATGCTGTAATAATCCATGTGAGACAACAGTAAGGCCCTTAATTAAGGCAGTAACAACAGACTTGTCTATTTTAAACTGACAGACAGGTCTAGGTCATTTGAGATTTGTGTATATTTTCTAGCTTCATTTCTTGATAGGTTTTAGAGGAAAGTTGGCCATAAATTACCTGAATGGGGGGGCTTGATAAAGTATCTTTTTCAGTTTTGACTATGTAAGTCCTGGTGCCCACAACAATGTTCTTTCTAAATAAGCAAAGTTTTGTACTTTTTAAAAATCAGATTAAAAAAATATATTTAAGAGATTTCCTTTCTCCCTGTTTCAACTTTTGCAACCTCTAAGCACCACCACTGATTCTTAGTCCCTCGCCTACACATAAGAAATAATATTAGTGTGGAATAAGTCTAGTGATGGTGATAAAAAAGGGGAAGACCTGGCTGATTATTTAGAAAACAGGAGCTGAGAGGAGGTATCTTAAGAGGAAATGTTTCTGACTGTGATGGATAACCAATTCTCCTACCCTACCTCACCCCCCTCACCCCCCAAAAAACCTGAAAAAAGAACATATAGAATAAGACAAAGATGAGTTCAAGTTTGGATAAGTTGGTCAGGGCTAGAAAGATAAGGTAGACAATTATGAGTTCAAGCTCTTGGAGAGGAACAAAACCACAATAAAATCATATTTAATTAGTTAAGTGGCAAGTATTACATACTTTCCCAGAAATTTCTATATTAATCTACAAGTACCTATTTGCTAGTTAACATTTTCATTAGCCTCACTTCACAAAAGAGAAAGATGAACTTCTATGAAGTAGTTTGCTCAAGGTATCCAAGTCACACAGTGGTAAGCTGAGCCAGGTTGCAAACCAAGCCAAGTCTGGCTGACAGTAGATCTATATTTGAAAGAATGCCATCAATGAGTATTTGGGGGATAATTAAAACCTTAGGAGTAAAACAGCTCTCCACAAAGCCTATACAGCATTAAGTGAAATGAGAACAGAACCACAGGGGAAAATACCATGTGGGAAGATCAGGGGCTATCAGTAAAAGGCAACACAGGGTCTTATGGTACTTAATGCCTAGCCATTCTCTGTTAAAAGTAGGGAAGGTGGCCTTGAAAAGCCAAGGCTAATAAAACAAGAAAAAGGGTGAACACCTGGAGACAGAGTGCACACAAGTTGGCTGCATATTGAGAGTGCCATGTTACCCTTTGAGTCCTGACTTCCCTTATCTTCCGCACTCCCAATCTTGTAGGGAAGTGTCTGTCAAATAAAAGAGGATTAGCCAGGCTTATTAGAATCCTGAGAAATAGAAGTTAAGATTACACAGAATGAAAACTGAACTGAAAAGGAACAATTCTTCAAATGGAAAGGAGTGCAAGAGGCAGGCAACAAGGGTTAAGTAGTACAAAGAGTGAAGAAAAGGATGAAACATAGGACCTACATTACCAAACATCTGGTTAACCCTGGCTGTTTTGGCAAAACTAAGCATTCTCTTATGTTCTCAAGAGCCTCCCAATTTGGATGACAAATTACATGGTCACTAATCTGCTTTCAAGAGCAGTTAAATTAAAGCTAGTCTAAGAACTTATAACAGGGGCTGGGGATTTAGCTCAGCGGCATAAGCGCCTGCCTTGCAAGCAGGCAGTCGTGAGTTCCATCCCCGGTACCGATAAAAAGGAAAAAGGAAAAAGGAAAAAAAAAAAAAAAAAAAAGAACTGATAACAATTTCTCCTTTTTAAGACAAAGGCTTTCTCCCATATAGGTAACTGGAAGGGCTGACCTTAACAAATGCTACAATAACAAGCCAGTGGAGCCATGGGCTATTTTAAGTCAATCCATGTGCATACAAGTCTCAGCCTATCTTAAACAATACTTTCTTTCCAAACTTCGTCTGTTCTCTCACACAATACTTAGTACTGACCCATCTATTCTAAACCATCGAAATGAGAATGAGTCACTTTCATGTAATATGCTTAGCAACTCCAAAAAGGATATCCTGCCACCACCACCAAATGAGGAACCATCAATAAAGCAAATTGGTATATAGTAGTGAGCTGGAGCAACACAACCTCTAGCAGCTGTAGCCTCTTGTGTACTAGACTTGCTCAGCATCTGATTGGACTCTTTGGTCTACTTTGATTTAGGTAAATGTGTTTGTGATGGGGATGACCAAGACTTTTGCCATTTTTTTTGTGGTATTTCAAGAAGAGTTTGGAGGTACCTCTGAGCAAATTGGTTGGATTGGATCCATCATGTCATCGCTTCGTTTTTCTGCAGGTAAAAGTTGGCAATAAACTTGCTGTCCATGGAGAAGGTCCACAAAGGACACTGTTAATAGGTTTATTTCTGAATATGCACTAACATATAATGACAAGAAAGTAAGGAATTACAATGCTCATCTTCTGTTTGACTTGGTATCTAAATTGGGAAAATAAGGATTCAAGGGAAGCTTAGGTACTTAGCTAATTTCATGATTCAAATTTTCTTTTTTTTAAAGCAGCATCTAAGTATTCAAGCTGACCTTGAATTTAAGGTGACCCACCTCAGCTTTGAACTCTTGAGTGTTGGGTTTACACGTGTGCACCATCCCCAGCTCATAGTTTACTTGTCTGGTAATGCCTTACTACAAGTCCAACAAGCCAGACCATCTACCTGGAAGTCAGACCACTGAAAGTTCTAATCATTGAATCACATTCAAAACAGAACAAAACCAATTTTCCTTCTACTAGTTTTAGTTGACACTATGGTATGGTAGTGATTAGTAATCTGACTTTGTACTAATCAAAAGCACTAGTACAATCTCATTTTTTAGTTTCTATATTTTCAGTATTTCCCTCCAAACCATCTTATGACCTTTTGATGTTTTTAACTCTCTAAAAAAGCAAAATATTGTGTCCAATAACAAGAAACCCAGTAAAAACACGTTTTTGAAAGATACACATACACAGTGAAGTCCTCTTATTTTCCTTTAGTCATTTATTTAAATCACACATCAGAGATTAAAGGATGCCAAAGGACACCTACCTTGCAGCTGCCTTTCTTTCTTCTCCCTCAGGTCCCCTGGCTGCTGTTATTTGTGAAATGCTTGGAGAGAAAGCTACCTCCATTCTTGGGACATTACTTGTTGCAGGGGGCTATCTGATCAGCAGCTGGGCCACAAGCATTCCCTTTCTTTGTGTGACTATGGGACTTTTACCTGGTAAGTACTTTATAAATAGAGTATGAAAGATGAAACAGAACTTTCAACTGCCTGTGGGTCCAAAAGGCCTAGTTATCTCAGATACAGAGTATCTCATCTGTTACCAAACCATTTAATGTAAAAATAATCCAAAACTATTGTTTTTCTTTTAGGTTTGGGTTCTGCGTTCTTATACCAAGTAGCTGCTGTGGTAACTACCAAATACTTCAAAAAACGATTGGCTCTTGCAACTGCTATTGCCCGTACTGGGATGGGACTGACATTTCTATTGGCCCCATTTACAAAATTCCTGATAGATGTTTATGACTGGACAGGTGAGTTCATCTAAATTTGTAAACTACCAGCTCTTCAAGACTTAACATGCAGCTCTCCCTTATTGACTAGAAATGAAGATTTTCAGAGCAATCAGTTTCAAAAGATATTGCAATGGCAAAATAAAAACTTAAAAGGTATTGTGTTAGGAAATGAGCATGCTATCTAAATATGTTCCTTTTCCTTGGAAATTACATCACAAGAGAAATCCTGAAGGACATACAGGATTTACCAGTTCACACTAGGAACTCAAGAGTTCATCAGAGTGAGATGGAGACCACTGTGTTTATATAAACATCCTTGCTGTGGTGTTAACCCCTGGAGAAAGAAGCCTCTCCTCCTTCTCACCGAGAAATTCACTTTTAATGTTTTCTGGTTTTTATTCAGACAGGGTCTCGCTATGTAGTTCAGAACTATGTAACTCAGGTTGGCCTCAAACTTGTAGGCATCTTCCTGCCTCATCCTGCCAAGAGCATGGATTACATTTCTGGCTCACTGTTCATGTTTTTTAAAAATTATCTGCATTTTAAAAAACCCTTCTCCCACCAAAAAAAAGATGAAATCACCAAAAAAACTTAGGTAGAAAGGGTTCTATTAATATCAATTATGAATTTTCACAAGTCACTCATGCCATAATCTTTGTATCTGAAAACAAGTTTACATAATCTTCAAATTAATGAAAACCACACATATGTAAATATATGTATGTGTAGTCATATGCATATTGTTTGTATTGAGACTCAAATTCAAGACCTTGCCCTTGCAAGGCAGGCGATATGCCACTGAGCTATATTCCCAGTCATATGCCTATTTCTATCCACAGCATTTTTTTTCTTTTTTGTATTGAGGATCAAACTCACAACTTCATGTTTGCCATGCAGGTGCTTGTGCCACTGAGCTAAACCCCTGGTCCTCCCAAATATTCTTTCCCAAGTAAATCTATCCAGTAGTCTCAAGCTGAATGGGACCAACAAACTACAATGGAACCTAACATTCATTTTTTTATAAGCACCATAAACAAGTAACAGCTTTGGTAAGCTTTGGTAAGATGTACTGAAATTAAGCAACTCAACAGCAAGACTAGCATCTATATTCCTTCAAAGAAAAAGTTTTAAATGTCATAGTATGAAACTGTTCCTTTTTCTAAGGTTGTTTCTAAATAATTCGAGTCATTAAACTATATATAAACCTAAACCGTCACTTTGGAATATTTAAAGTTCTTGTTTAAAAACTATCCACTCCTCAAGAAATATCTATTGTATTTGTTTCATTCAGCAAAAATAAACACCTCTCCTTCTCTCTCATCTATTGGCATAGCTTTGTGGTTTTCTGTCTTCAAAGGACATGAATATAGCAGTGACAAGACTTAAATGTTTTTACTTTAAATGGGAGGCAAAATAGTGTTTTCAAGAATTATTGCTACATGTAACGCGGTCTCTTCTAAGACTATGAGGGCAAGGTATTATGAATGGAAAGGTTCTTTATAATTTCCTAATTTCTCTCCTATTTAGGTGCCCTTATACTATTTGGAGCTATTGCATTGAATTTGGTGCCTTCCAGTATGCTCTTAAGACCTATCCATGTCAAAAATGAGAACAATTTTGATATTAAAGTTAGCAGTTTGTCTGCAAGTGGCCCAGAGGCACTGTGTGGGACAGAAACATCATCCTGTAATGAGACACAAGAGTTTTTCATCAAGGATGGTATTATGCAGAAAGCTGGACAACCTGATAAAACTTTTACAGTTTCACAAAATCAAAGTGAAGAGTTCAACAATGGGCCTCACAGGAACAGACTGTTATTGAGTAATGAAGAAAATTGTAAGCAAAAGGCTATTTCATGGAGCTGCAAACAAAAACTCTTTGACCTTTCTCTCTTAAGGAATCCTTTCTTCTGGATATTTACCTGGTCTTTTCTCCTAAGTCAGTTGGCGTATTTCATTCCTACTTTTCACCTCGTTGCCAGAGCCAAAACACTGCGTATTGACATCATGGATGCCTCCTACCTTGTTTCTGTGGCTGGTAAGAAACCTACAACATCCTACCTAGAAGGAAATGAATTTAATTTTATAAAAGTTTACTAAATGTTAAGTTGAAAAGCAGCAACAAGAATTGAGGGAGGGAGGGCTGGTGAGTCTGTGCTTGGTAAGTGTGAGGTTGTTAGATCCTTAATACCGAAGGGGGTTGGGGAGTGAGGTAAAGTTGTGGGAAGGGGAAAAAAAAGTTGTGGGAAGGCTAGGGAAAGCAACATTTTGGGACACTAGATGGAGCACCAGGGCTCTGCACAGATCTGCCATTATACTTTGCACACCAATTCCACTAGAGAAGGGATCCTCAACGAAGCACTCATTGTCATGCACTCAACACAGTAGACATCAGTATTGTTGATACTGAATTTTAAAAAGCTGGTACTCAGTGGCAGCAGCTACTCAAAAAATAAAAAGTCCCAGCTGGACAGTGTAGTACAAAAGTTGAAAGGATTAGTACTTGGAGCTTGTCTTCCCAGATTCAGGTTGCTATTTTTCCTAGCTATGTGAACTTGGGAAAGTCTTTTGCTTTCACTGTGCCTCAATGTCCTCATCTGTGATATACATATAACAGTACCTATCCTTGTAAGGGTCAGGATGAAAACTATAATACATGTAGTTTAGAGTAGTATTTGTAGTTAAGTATATTTCCCCTTGAAATAACAGTAAAACAAGTATGACTCAAGGCTAATCATATTAGCTAGTATTTAAAATAACTCAAAATGTGAATTAAAAATGAAAGCCATTTTAGTTGAATATATTCATAAAAATGCTTAAATACTTTATCAAGAAGTTCAAGATTCTTTCAGATGACAAAACAGGAATAAAAGAGCCTCAGAGGCTGAGGTAAGAGAACTGCTGTGAGTTCAAGACCAGCCCAAATTACACAGGGAGACTGTCCCCACCCCCAAAAGAATGAAAAAGAAACAAGATGAAACGGGCTTGTTCTAATTATCCAGAAATTCTCAAGAGTTCAACAGTAATTTTCCCCTTAATATTTCTTGGAGAAAAGTTAATTTACCAAGTCTTTACCAAATTGAATGCAACATTCCAATTAAGAAGATGCTCTATTGTGAGTAAATAAACCTTTCTCCCTTTAACAACAAAAAGATCCTCTAGTTCAGTCAAATAATGGTATGTATCTTAAGGGAAAAATACGTGCCCAAGTACTATTTTTTCAATGCATTATGTGAATCAATTTAGAACAGACTATATAATGGGGCCAAAAAATCCATACATTCCTAATATACTGTATATCCTAGAAAATAACTGTGAAAGTAAAAATGATAGTATCCTTTTTCCATTTCTTCTTTTAATGACACAGTTTATGTTTGAACTCCAGGAAGAATATGAAGTACAAAACTGGAGCTCATGCTATTCCTGGTGAAAATGTCTCCATGTTTAACTGCTATGTCAGGTTATAACAGGATAATGGGTTAACAAGGCTCTTATCGTGAAACCTAAAAAAAGGAAAAATAATAATGTGGTTCTTAACTTTCATTCATTGTACCATAGCTCCAATGTTTCAGTATGATCTCCTATGTCTAGACTTCCTGTTTTCAAATTAACCATAATGACCTTTGGAGGCCTTAATTCCCAGCGTCATAAGCAGTTAATAGTTCCACTTGGGCATGGTGGGGCATACCTCTGATCCCACTACTCTGCAGGCTGAAGCAGTAGGACTGCCAAGAGTTTCAGGCCAGCTTGGACTACACAGTGAGTTCATAGTCAGCCTGAACTATAGTGAGACCCTGTCTCAAACAGCAAAACAAAAAGAATTCCAATTCTTTTTTAAGATTTTTATTATTCTCCAATCTTCCAGCATTTGACTTCCTGAGAACAATGTCTCCAAGAGTCTACTAGTCCTTTAGAAATCTATCTGAAAGTATAAAGGTCAGCAAGGCCTCCTAAGCCTAGGGGACCCTGTAATCAGGAATTCTCTGTGGAGTGTTAGTTATTAGCTTTCCAAACACTCTCTCACTCTCTCTCTCTCTGAGTGGATTGTTTCTCACTTAATTCTGGAGAAGCCTTGCCTTTTTGGTTACTTTACTGAATGTACTACAGTAAGTAAATGCTGAGTGCTATTTTAGTACACAAATGAAAACATTTTTTTCCCCCTCTCATATCTTCACCTCAGAATGAAGTCATATTACTTGGGGAAAGATGTCTATGAAGTCTCACTTTTTAAAAGAGGTTAGGAAAATGGAATCAGGATTTCCTGAAATTTTTTCTATATTATTTCAGGTATCGTTGAGACAGTCAGTCAGCTTATTTCTGGATGGGTTGCTGATCAAAACTGGATCAGGAAGCATCAGTACCACAAGTCTTACCTCATCTTCTGTGGCATCACTAACTTGCTTGCTCCCTTAGCTACTACATTTTCACTACTTATGACCTATACCATCTTCTTTGCTGTTTTTGCTGGTGGTTACCTGGCATTGATACTTCCTGTACTGGTAAGTAGACATTCATTAATACTGTTAAACCATTTACTGTTAGTAACCATCTCCCCAAAAGAGAATACTTACTTTATATTACTTTTAAAATTTTACAAAAATATACCAAAGGTCTCAGAAATCCTATAGCTAGTTGTAATCTATCCAATTATTCATCTTACCTTAAGGAGAAGGATGAGAGAGCCAGCCACATGGCACAGAAAGGAATTAAATTCTAACAGGGATCAGCAGGATTCCATTTTGCCTATCAGTTCCCTAAAACATTAAGCTTATGCTCACTCTCTCCAGAACTCTTTGGCTCCAAGACCCAATTTTGAAAAAAACAGTAAACCAGTATAGCTTCTTTATTGTTGAGGTTATTAACAGTAGGCCTATGTACTTTAATAGGGACATTAGTGTTTGTTTTTAATCTCTTCATTTTTATCCTCAGTTAACCTAAAATAAATTGAAATATTTATGAAAACACTTCTGTGTTCTTGGACTCCCTTGGGCTTGCAGAACTAGGAACTCAATGTGTTAGAACAAAATCCCTTGGACATTTCTAGCCTGTTACTGACCAGGACACTACCGAACACTTAGGCAAAACCAGCTTCCTAAAGCCAAAATCAACTTTATGCTATATGAGTTCTTACAAACGCATGGTAGGTAATTGACCACAGGTAGATGCAGGAGAATCACTGTCCACTCAGATTGAGAATGTAAAATAATATTTCCTAATTGAGAAAATCAGTGAAATTCAGGGTGGGGGAACATTCCTAAACCACATAAAAAGGTTTTTTAAACTAAAACCAAAAACCAGTGTTCTTCTACCACTAATATACCTGAAAACACTGCCTTGCGCAGCCAAGTTATTGTTCCCTATTTGACCTCTGCTGTTTCATAACTCTGGGAGCAAAGGGGCATCCAAATTCTCTCTGAAGTCAGGTGGTCAGTTTGAGATGATGTAACAGTATTTGTTCCTTTATAGTCATAGACATTTATAGAACTTCAGTCTTAAAATGGCTAACATTGAATTTAAATCCCTACAGGTAGATCTGTCTAAGAATTGTGGAGTACACAGGTTTTTGGGACTTGCTGGTTTCTTTGCTGGGATGGCTGTGCTTTCTGGACCTCCTATAGCAGGTAACAACTGAGCCACACTCTGAGCAAATTTCAATAGTAATAAAACTGACCCAGGGTTAACAGTAACGTATTTCTAGCTTTCCTGTGTGCTCTTCTTTATCATCAATACAGGAAAATCTATAGTTTAATTCAAAAGATGTACCCTAAGAAGATTCCTACTTTCTCTAGGGAATCTGACAGGACCAAAAACATATCTACTTATTTGGGGAGATAATCCAGTTTCATCAGTCTCAAAGGACCATATGATGCTTAAAAAAAAGAACCACCACTAGTGTATTTTATCTAAATATGAGTCACTTTTACTGAGCTTCAAGGCCACCAGCCTGATACTTTTGTTCTCTGATGTGCCAGAGCCTGTCCAGGGCTATCCAGGATCTTTTCTTTTCAGAGTGAGGGGGAACCTTCATATTCTAACTATACCAAGCGTGGACCACTTGGCCTAAAGGGAGAATCTCTATGGAGAAGTTATGTATGTATGTATGTATGTACAGTAACTCTTCGTGGAATTCTGATTATTTAACCTGAAGACTGAAGTACAGTTTTAGATTTGTCTTTTACCTAACTGATTATTTTGTGCTTGCTATACATTGAGTCTTAAGACTACTAAAAACCTGACTACTCATCTAGATATTTCAGGCTTAGATGTTAGTTTCTTATGAACCAAAGGTTTTCAATATATTTGAATGTACAAATTATTACAACATTTGTAATCATTCACAAAAAGGACTTTAGCCTACAATTCACTTTTGCTGTTTTCAGCTCTGGCATGAGATACAAAAGGGATCTGATCTTGCCCCACTATCATTTTTTAAAAAGTAAATTTCATCATGATGTTAAATTTATACCTTTTAAGATTTAGAAAAGACAAATATTGAAAAGAATATAAACTTAGGATACAAAGATGTATTACCAGGAGAAAAATATTCACTAGGATTTGAGATTCAGTTAAAATATATTCTAGGGAGAAAATTACACAAATACACAACTGACTACCTTATGGGCATCTGTGTGAACACACCCTTCCCCATGTTGTCTCTCAGCTTACTCTTTGCACCTATACAACAGGCTAGCATTTTAAAAATCAAGTCCAAAATTGTTGTTTAGTGATTGGTAAAGGGAAGATACATACCAGAATTGCCTTTAAGCGTTGTCTGGGATCTCTCAGTCAGTAAGATACCAAAAACAACTCAAATAGTTATGCAATATGTACATATGTTTTTTTCAATCTTAATCTTTTTTTTTTTTTTTTTTTTTGGTTGATGCTACGGAAACTTAACTGGTTGTCCCAGTGGTGCCTTGGAACTGTGAATACCCATTAAGTCAAAAGTACAGTGACATAACAAATACTAAGGCACAAAACATCTTATTCAAAAGCAAGTAACAAAATTACAGAATGTCTAGTGTCATATATGCTGTTGCACACATGTAAAAATGTTAAAAGAGTTCATTATATCAGGCGATAAGTCAAGTTTTGGGAGGATGGCTAACTGAAAAGAAATAGCTAGAGGTGTATATGTGGATCTTAAAACCAATTTGTTGGGCCATAATCTTTTTTTATTTTTTTTTTAATGGATGGACTACAACAAAGATTAGAAAACACAACAGTATATATATTTAAAAAAGAAAGCCACAGTAGTATATCACTTTATTATGCAACTTTTATTTCATGCATATACATACCTATGTAATATAAAACATTTTCTGTCAGGAAAAATGTTTCTAAGTCTTTCATTATCTAAAGTCTAGAAAACAGTTCATGATTAATATTTATATCTACTCTTTCTGAAAATCACAAGTTCTAAAAGTTCTGAAGGTTTATCTATAGATTTCCTAGTCTGGGTGTTGCTCATAGTATCTCAAACAAGATTCAAATAATACATAATTCAGTTGCATTTCCCTCTTTATTCTGGAATCTCTCACTATAAAGTTAAGTCACTAAGCATCTTGTTGAAGAGAAAAATTTTAGAGTCCACCCTTACAAGTCATTTTACTGTGAAAAAAAGAGGACTTTGCAAATGATATATTTATAAATTTTTTTAGGTTTGTCTCCAAATTCTGACTCTAGCAACAACTATCAAAAAAACATTAAAAATGTTGATTTACATACATATTAACTCATTTCTCAAGAGATGTGGGCAGTTATATATTGTATTTACCTGTTAAATCAAAGGCCTACTGGTGATAAAACATTGAATTTCCAACTCAACTTAGTTCTTCAAAACTGTATGAGATTTTACTTACCTATTTGTTATTACCAATTTGCAAACGTTGAAATTCCTATAAAAGATTACAGCCATTTTAAATTAGAAATCTGATAAACAGTAAATCCTCATTCAAAACACTAGTTAAGAATGATAACACTGATTACATGAATAGTATTTTTCTCCTTCCTGTATGGGGAAAAAAAAAGAAATTAGTTCTATATAACATTGTTTTAAGAATTCAAGAAAAAAGCATAGAAATCACAGCTCCCCCAAACTGCAGCACAGACTGAGCTCAGAGTGCTCATACTTAGCTATATCCCCAGTCTTTTTTTTTTTTTTTGTAGTTTGAGACAGGGTGTCACTAAGTTGCTAAATTAGTGAATTTAGGCTGAATTTATGATCCCGCTGCCTCAGCCTCCAAGTCCTAGAATTGCAGGTAGGTAGCAACAGGAGTAACCTTTTTTGTTTCTTTTTTTTTTCAGTCCTCTTGTGATCCCCCTGCCTTAGCCGTCTGGGTACTTATTTTTATTTTTAAAAACTACAAAAACAGAATATATAAGCAAAAAAAAAAAAAAAATACACTTTTCTTAATTATGAATATGACAAAAAAACACAGTAAAACAAAATTTGTTAATCACATCTTTGATGAAACTGACAGGGATTAAACAGATGAAAGTAAGAATTCACCCTCCCTACGCATACTTCTCTATTACATATCACCCTTGCCCACTCCAACCCATACTCACTCTTAGACCTTTCTAGTGTTTAGTAACAAATTCAATTTTAGCTAGTGCTATGGCCAGATTTAGACTAGGTCAGTTTCAGGGCTATTCAGAATCTCTGACAAAACATGGTTGGTAGGTCTGTGTCTAGGAAAAATGCCATTGCCCATCCAAACTGAACTGCTGTTGTTTTCCTGTAGAAAACATTCAAAACTATACACTAATGTCAGGTGTGATGGATGGCACATGCCTATAATTACAGCACTCAAGAGGCTGAGGCAGGAGGATCACTGCAAGTTTGAGGCCAGCTGGACTACGAAATGAGTTCAAGGCCAACCTGAATTGCATTAAGACCCTGTCTCAAAAAGAAAAACAAAACAAAAAAGTCGATACACTAAGATGCAAGCCTTGCAAAACTGTGGGAGAATAAAGTAAACCTGTAGAAAGTTTATTAAGACTGTAGTGCCTTGAGATAGTTCAGCCAATAATTATTCATTAATCCTCTAATTGTACAAAGCAGCATGCCATGGTCTACAGTCAGAGCTTCAGTCTCTGGTCACAGCAGAAACAAAATGGTATCTACCAAAAAATATTATAGTGCCTTGAATAGAAAAGCAAGCATGTAATCATTTTTTTTATTGGTACCAGGGATCAAACTCACGACCGTGTGCTTGCAAGGCATGCACTTGTGCCACTGAGCTAAATCTCCAGTCCAGCAAGAATGTAACCATACTTTCTAACACACAAATGAGATGTAAGCTACTTCTATGAAATCCTCATCAGGTATCCAAGATAGCCAACATCTTACCTCAAATGTCAAGCCTCAGTTTCACTTAAAAATAAAACCAACGGCCATATTATCTGCCTATAAAATAAAGTTAAATGTATTTTCCCTTCCCTATTCAAAACTAACATGTATATATTACATATACACATACACACTGTCATACACGTATTTAAATCAATCACAAATCTTTGAAACCTTAAGTAATTATTTCCACAGTTCATTCAGTAATTACCAAAGCACTCTACAAGATGTTACATGAAACAGAAAAGAAAAAAAAGTTACTCTCTCGAAATTCATCCAGGGCTCTCTGAGTTGTGGCACTGTCAGTCTGACAAACACACTGACTGGGACAAAAGTCTAAAATTTCAAAACTAATAACTATTGGAATCAGCATTCTTTTATTAACTGAAAACTTCATTAAGCAATAACACAATAATGTGTTTATCCATTTCCTTACCTTTAATTGAAGACACTGGGAGCTGTAAGATGACAAAAACAACCTTAAAATATATACAAGTTTTAATCAAACAATTATTTCATAAAAGTGATTTTTCCCCCCACAACAAACTCTAGAAGAACTACTCCTAAACTTGAATATATTTCAGTGGCTGCACTCCAGAATAAAGTTAACTACCTCTTAACTAAGTATGTATCTTTCATGCTGTTACTTGCCAATCTCATATCTCATCAGGCATGACATGCAGTAAAACTGGTCATTTTGCACCATTTTTTCCTAGGAAAAAACAATGGATAAAAAAACTTCATCTATCTAAGCTTGTCTGAGTCCCTTTAACAGAGATAAGCTATCATTTCATGAAATAATGTTAGTCTGTATCTCTACTCCATCTCCATTTCAAATACAATCTGTTCCTTGCTCTACAATTTACCAAACATAACCACTACAATTTTATCATATTAGCTTATCAATTAAGAATTTCTGTATAGCCTAAAATTTTATTTGAAGAAACAAAACTCAACCTTAATACATATGTGCACGCGCACGCACACACACACATTTTGGAGTGGGGTGGGAATGGAAGACAGGTGAGAAGGCACAGAAAGTTCTTTGTCCTCCATAAATTCTGAACAGTATGATACATAGTGAAGAGACAAAAGAAAATATTTCAACCATTTAACATCTGGTGATTCTTCCCATAAACAAAGACACACAGAATTCCACTAACTATGGCTCACAATTCCTAGGATTGATGAAATCCACAAAAGCATCAAAAATAATTCAAAATATATCCCTGTTGTGGTTTAAAAGGGATGTGAGAGTTGGCCCTTCTTAAATATAACACGCTTCATAAATGCAGGAGTTTCCAAATGCTAATATAAAGACTATAGTCCTTTCAGTAAAACTTAGTCACAACCAATGCTTCAAGCACTCCCAGAAAATCTTGCTACACATATCTACTGTGGGCCTTTAGTGAGTACCTGTCTTAAAAGACCTTGAGGTTTAAATTTGCTCAACCATGTTTCCCAAGATTGTTCCTATCATGGTATATTTAGAAAATATTTGTACAACACATCCAAAGTAAAAGGACAAAGTTTTTAGCCAACAAGTGGTTTTAGTGACTCTGGGACAAAAGATCATTGTCCTAGCACATGCTGAAAGTTTGCCACTATGCTAGAGCCCAACAGCTAGAAGTTCTCACTTAAACTAGCCAGTCACAGAATTCTCAACCATTTACTTGAATTATCAAGGACCTTGGGAGTTTAAAGACCTTATAAATATATTTCAAATTTTAAAAAGATGACAGTAAACATACAATAGTAAACCTAATAAAAAGAATTCATAGTTCAGCTCATAACCACGTTCTTACTTGGTGGTAAAAATATTTATTAAACAAGATGTTAAATTCCTTTTTATATATGTATGGCTTAATTCAATAAGATAACGTAGAATGATTTTTAAATAATGACATTTTTAAAAATGAATTTATAATCTTATATTTCCTATCAAATTTATAAACTTTTTTGTTGGTTTTAAGAAATCTGGTTTGTGAAACTGTTTAAAGAAACTCAACCCAGCTGGGCATGGTAGCACATGCCTGTAAGGCTAGCATGTGGAAGGCGGAGGGAAGAGGATCACAAGTTCAAGCATATGTCTCAAAAACATCAAAAACAAAAAAGGAGCTCAACTTAATCCTGTTGTAAATGATCACATGAAACGCTGTTAGACATTCTTGCCCAAAACAAGGGTGACGACCATACATATGAAGAAATAATTTGGACTAATATGCATCTCAGACGAATCTGATGCTGTAATATCTAGAGACACTGGAAATGCTTAGAGGCCTTTACTTTAATCTGCACCTCTTCAAAATGCTGTCTTCATATAGTAATACTTAGCATGGAGTAAACACTCACGTGCATATTATCCTAAACTGTGGCTGGTATATTCTCTGACATTTGTGATACTTCTCCTGAACTACACAGGAATCCAGTCGGAATGTCCATATATGTGTATAATTCTATTTAAAACTGTAGGATAGAGTTTCTAATTTCTTTTTAAAATATTTCCTTAGAAACATTCAACTGCAAAGGGTTGAAAATCTACACATATGTAGCCTTTTTAGACTGATACAAAAAAGTAGTACAAAGATATAATCAAATCAGAATAAACACCATGTTTTACTTTTGGGGCCAATGAAGACTAGTCCAACTTAATACAGCAGATAATTAAAGACCAGTGAAGCTCAAATCATTTAAATCTAAGCTTGATTAGTACAGCTAATACAACTTTAGTAACTCATTCAAAATGGTTGAGATAAAAGTTTTCTATGGTATATATTGGGGTAGTCTCAAAATATTTGCATATATATGATATCTTGGGGATGGGAGAGACCTAAGTCTAAACATGAAGTTTATTTACATTTCATGCATACCTTCTATATAGCTTGAAGATAATTTTGTATAATATTTTAAATAATCTTGTGCATGAAATAGAAGTTTCATAGTGTGGAATTTTCCACTCATGTCATCATGTGAGTGCTCAAAAAATTTCAGATTTTGGGTTAAGGATGCTCAACCTATACTTCCATAAGATTATCTATAACAACATTCATTCTGCATTCTGCATTTCATCTCATATTTGTTATTGTAAAACTACCCAATAGCACATTATTTTCCTACCCAATAACAAATGGACCTTAATTAGAAGCTTAAAAATTCTAATGCCTCAGAGCTGGAGATTTAACTCAGTTGTGTAAGCACCTGCTTGGCAAATTTAAAATCATGAGTTTGATCCCTGGTACAAAAAAAAAAAAAAAGAAAAAAAAAGCCAAAAAAATTCCGTGATACAATTATCAAGTATGAATGGGAGAAACAAGATTTAAAACCAATTGTTTCAATTATATATGAAAAGTGAAAATAGCTATAAAATACACTGATTCCCCATCCTAAAAGAATATGCATTAAACATGTATTTTTGTTTTGAGACAAGTTCTCTAAATAGTCTAGTTCAAGTGTCCTTGAACTCTAAATCCTCCTACTCCAGCCTCCCAAGTGCTAGGATTACAGGCATGGGAGCATGAGACGCCCAGATAAGCTGGGAGCATGATGCCCAGCTTAAATTTAATGTTTCAAAATCTACATTCTCTTTTTAAGATTGTGTGTGAGACTGGTCATTCGAGAGATAGAAATTAAAACGACACTTGAGATTTCACCTCACCCTAGAAAGAATAGCTAGTATCAAGAAATCAACCAATAACAAATGCTGAGGGGATGTGGGGGAAAAGGAACCCTCCTCCACTGTTAGTAGGAATGCAGATTGGTGCAACTACTGTGGAAATCAGTGTGGAGATTCCTCAAAAAACTAGGATTGGAGGTCCCATTCAACCCAGCTATTCAGGTATTTTCCCAAAAGAATTAAAAACATTATAGCACTGTGCACCCATGTTTACAGCAACACAATTTATAATAGCTAGATCTTGGAAACAACCTAAATGCCCATCGACTGAGGAATGGATAAAAAAGATGTGGTATTTTTTATACAATGGAGTACTACCCAGCCATAAAGAATGATAAACTGGACACTTATAAGTAAATGGATGCACTTTGAGAACATATTCATTAGTGAATAAGTAAGACACACATGTAAACATATTGTTTCATTAGTGTGACAACCTGAAAGAAAAACATGTACCTTTGTACATATATGTATTTAAAAAATGAGTTAAGATAGTTATACTACTGATTTCTCTGAGTTGGCTAAAGAGAAAGATTTGTACTGGTATTGTTCAGGCAATTCAATGCAGATGTCTTATGCTCAGGTGAATGATTTATGGATAACAGTGCACAATGTATGTATTACTGTTGCCTCCTGATTGATGTGCTCTGAAATTTTTGTAGTTTTTTTCTTTTTCTTTCTTTTTATCTATGTATAAAATAGATTTGAAAAAAATAGGATTGTGTGTGTATGTCTGTGTGTGTGTGTGTCTGTGTGACGAAAGAATTATAAGAAGTTTCTCTTCAGCTATTTTCAGGTTTGTCTTCCTGACATTTCTCATATCCCTACCTTAAAATTCACAGTAAATCTATTGTGTTCATGGGACTTAGACAAAATTGCACCCTCTCTCACTCACCTTTCTTGAAATTGCTGGGAAAGTTCAGACTGATTCCATTTTTTAGAGAGTAACAGGTCAAACACAATCAACATAATAAAACCCTTATGCTAATTGGTTTCACTCCACTCTCTTGCTTCTTTCCAAAAAACATTTAATGCACAAACAGAAATCAATAAGCAAAAAGCAACTTAGTTCAGTTTAAGAGGCTATAAAGCATTCCATTCATTTATTACATTAAGAACAGGAAACATAAAGCAATTTAAGTGAAACAATAGAAAGAGGCTGGGAATGTAGCTCAGTGGTAGAAATATGTGCTTCATATGTGTCAGGCTTTGTATTCTATCCTCAACAAATACACATGTACAGCAACAACAACAAAACACCCCAAACCACAAACAAACATTTTTAAAAGTTCAATGTCTGCACCAGGACCAAGCAAGAGAACAAAGAAGCCACACCAAAAAGGGATGGCAGGAGGAAACAAGTTGTGTATCTAATGAGTCACTATGATCTAAGGAAAAAGAAAAGGAAAATAAAAAGGCATAAAGTAAGTACCACAAAGGCAGGTAATTCCTTCTGTTCATAGGTATATCCTCAGAAGCTAGAAATGTGCTGGCCTACAACACTAATTTCTCCCCCCCAGTACTGGGGGTTGAACCCAGGGCCTTATACTTAACAACATATAATATCCATGTAGCTCAGTGCAAAGGTCCTAGACGAAATCTCTACTATGTATGTATGGAGGGTTCACGTTAAGTTCTACTTGTACCATTAGCCAAAAGATTTTGAGGTTTCTTTAACTCCTCCTTTAAAAAGCACTTAGCTGGAAATGTAGCTCAGTGATACAATACTTGCTTATCATTGGAGAGACCCTATGTTCAATCTTCAGTACTGCCAAAAAAAGTGCTGAGATTTCAGGAAGAACTTATTTAACCCACTTCATCAAATCATCTCTTCTCATATGATCTCATGACCTCTAAGCATTCTCTTCAAGGCACTCCACATATATGTACTTTATATGGTTAATACCTACCTCCCTGTTAAACTAAGCTCCGTAAGGCAAGGATCATGCCTGTTTTGGCTCAATACTATCCTAACAAAGCACATTGCCAGGGACATAGTAAGTACTTGAATTTTGCTTAGTAAAGGAAAAAGGGTAATTTGACCTCTTATTTTTTTCCTTCAGGCAAGAGTAGTAAAATTCAGTGTTATTTTCTTTGTAAGAATTGTAGTTTTCTAGTAAGATTCATCATTAAATGAAAAAGTATGTGTCCCTAATTTCCTCTAACATCCATTACAAGATGAAATGAATTCTGAGTCCACAATAATTTTTACAACTGTTTTAGATGAAACTAATTTTGTCAAGACAAAGGCATGTAAAAAGTCTAAGTTTCTAATGAGTCATAATACACATTAATAAGTACAGGAGACCCCTTCCTTTAAGATAGAGCTAATGGTTGAAAATTACTAATGGGAAGATTTGCTTCACTAATAGAAATCCTTCCTCTCTTCCAGGTTGGTTATATGATTATACAGAGACATACACTGGTTCTTTCTACTTCTCTGGAACATGCTATCTCCTTTCTTCGCTTTCCTTTTTCTTTGTACCACTGGTTGAGAGATGGCAAAGAGAAGTTTCCAGAAGGAAAGAGGACTACAATCAAGTGAAAGTTTAACAAAAGAACATCTAAATTATTAAGTTTTCAGAAACAGAAGATTAGAAGATTCCTTGTTTATAAAATGAGAAGGTAAACCAGATAGTTTTTATGTTTTTCCTTGTTTTAGCATTCTGAGGAATATCCATCCTACAGTAATGGCAAATTAATTAAAACAACTACCTTCGATATTAAATAAAAAGCAAAGTATACTATAATAAATTAGTCCAAACTGAATTGTGCCTGGGTAATTCAATCACTAAATTGAAGAATTTTTTTTAACTTACAGAAATATTAAATAAAGCCATTGACTGATTTGAATTTTGGAATCTGAATGAATACTCTAACTTTGCTTAGTGACTGGAATGCTATACACCTCCCCAAAAGTTCATCTTTGTTTACTGATAAAAACTAATTTTTTATTGCCTTGTTTCTAAAGTTCTATGATAAACATGTATTGCTATGAAACAAAATATAAAAATTATTTCTTTAAAAAACCCACAAAACCTTTAACATCTTAATGGCACTCCTAAATAATTTTGCTATTGATCTATCTAAATAAGATTACCTTTTCACTACATTTGAGTATCAAAAATATTTATATTAAATATCTAGAAGTTTCTTAAGAACAATAAGTTTCATACATAAGTTGAATAAGTGGTTCTAATGGGAAATATATTTAAATTAAAAGATGTTTATATATAACTGTGATATTACTTAGAATATGCAAGTAAATGTGAATAAACAGCCCTTTATTATTTGGGTGATCCTTATGAAGAAAGAAAAAAAGTTTCTCCAACATCAACCTGTCTTAAAGCCTCCTTCAGAATGCTTCTTAAATTATTATCATATTATTCCATCCTTCCATTGCTTTCGGCCTTTTAAATCCACTGATTCCCTGTTAAGAAAAATCCTAAACTGAAAGCTTCAGTTTAGCTCAAAGTTTCCATACCTTTCCTTCTAGCAGTGTATACCTTTGTCTAAGCTTTGCCACCTGCTGCAATCCCACTAAACTGTCTTTTTCTATCAGAGACACTCTCACTTGATCATTTATAATTTGACTCAAAAAGTTCACTCCTTTGGCAAACCTTCCCCAGGATCTAGAATCCCATCTAACCCATCTAACTTTTAACCCATCTAACTTTTACAGAGGACTCTAATTGATCTCACATGTCGACCTTGTTCTTTACCTTGTCCTTGTCTATAATCTTGTTAGGTGACATTTTATTCATTTTTGTATTTCCCATGCTTTGAAACCAAACTAAGCTGGGTTGAAAATCTATTATCTCAAAACAGTAGGTAGTCTTATTTAAGTGTAAATGTCTAATATGTTTTTCATATTTTACTTGAAAGAAAATATGAATGAAAAACAAAAATACTATCCCTCATACAAACAGCAAAAGTAGCTGATTAGTGATAAATCTTAGCTCTGCCACTCATTATCATTTGACCTTATAAAAGCTACTCAGCTTCTTGGATTCCCAATTTCCTCCTCCTCTAGGATATTATTACCAAACAACTCCACAGATGTACTGTAAGGATTACACAAAAATATGTTTTTGGTTTGTTTGTTTTGTGGTACCAAGGATCGAACTCATGACCTCACACTTGCCAGACACGTGCTTATGCTGCTGAGCTAAATCCTCGGCCCCAACAAAAATATGTTTGTATCAAGCAAAATATCCTACATGCAGAGTAGAGCATCTACTGCTTTTTCTTTCTTCTGTTTTCTATGTCAAAAAGGAAAATAAAACAATGTTTTACTAATACTCTCCTCAATTTCTCCTTGCCTTAGATATAACATTAATCTTCAAAATAAACATCAGAAAGATACTATGATGTTCATTTTACAAGTAGATAAAGTCAAAAAAATACTCAGTAAATGGTGTCACAATTCAAATACAGATTAACATGTAACTCTGAACTTCCCCTCCATTACACTGGCTTCTTAGCAGTAACAATGAATTAAGAAACTAATTTAAAGCAATTATAATAAATTTGTAACTCAAATTTGCCTATAATTTTAATTTCTAGATTGCAATAAAAAGAATACTACAAAGTACCTAACTACCAACTCCTCTATAAAAACCACAGATCATATCTGCTATGGTACAACAATGTTCTTGCTAAATAATCAGTTTTCTTAGGTCTTCTAATACTCATTGAACCTGATCAAACACTTGTAATTTTTTAATAAATAGTTGGAATGTTTATAAATTATAAGCTTCAAAATTAAAAAAAATTATCTAATAAAGCTATGACAATTTGAACATAAATGTCAATCTATTTTCTTGTAAGATACTTTTGTGTGTGTGTGTGTGTGTGTGTGTGTGTGTGTGTGTTTACCCAGAATCAAACTTTCAGCTTCACACTTGCCAGACAGGTGCTGTGCTACTCAGGTATATCCCTGGCCAGTTACTTTTTGATTATATTTAAAATTGGTTACAATATCATTTCTTGCTGCTCTGAGAAAATGCCACACTATCATAAACTTTTCTATATATGGTGAAAATGAATTCTCATTAAAATTCTCCTTTATAATACTTTCAAATTTTTAAAGTTCTTTCCCATCTATAACCTCATTTACGATGTCAATTCTGTGAAGAAGTTTGGACAAGTATCATGATTACTATTTTATACATAAGGAACAAAAACAACTTAATATCAAGTTATTTGCCTATGGTTACAAAGCTCTTATCAAAGCCAATTCTAAAACCTAATTAATGAGTTGGGGGTATAGCTTAAGCTCTTTGTTCTAATCCCCAGCACACCAAAAAAAAAAAAAAAAACCCACAAAAAATTAAATCTAATTATTGATGCTGATTACATCATGCTCCCTGGCTTTTCTTCTATTATGATGCTCTTACTATAAATTTATTTAAAGCAACAATTAGACTTACATAGACTGAAATAATTTGTAACATTTTTCAAATGTTCTAGATACATAAATATATGTGATATGTAGCAAAAAATAAGCTGCTGAGTAAATAAAACTTACCTAAACTATAAAATCACCCTATTTATCATCTATAATCTTAACATATACATAAATGAAAACTAGAGTGCTTAGAATCAGCTTCTAAAATCAGTATAAAATTCTTTTATTTTATTTCAATGAGCAATAAATTGGCATTACCCAGGATCACTGGAACAAATTAGACAAGTCATTACTTTTTGTTTTGTTTTGTTTTGTTTTTGTCTTTTTCGTTTTTTTATCGGTACCACGGATCGAACTCACGACTGCCTGTTTGCAAGGCAGGCGCTTATGCCGCTGAGCTAAATCCCCAGCCCCTAATTTCTTAAAAAGGACCTAATCCCTAGTATTTTCCAACAGAATCTAATACATCGTGAAATCTCCTTTAATTTAAAATGATCAATAACAACCTTTTCAAGGATGCAGAAAATAACTAATAGGATGACCAACTACCTGGTTCTGGCCAGTAATAAAGAAATTCCTGAGATCCAGGACTTTGGGTTTTAAAACCAGAACAGGTTATTTACTCTTCACGAGCAGAGAACCTGTTTGGATACTTAATAGCAGAAAGCACAAAAGAAAAACAAACAAAAAGCCTCACGAATTTTGATTCTTTTACTTCATGAAAGCTCTGGCTAGCATAATAGAAACTAATGAGGAAGGCACAGGATACTTTTAATGAGAATCTATTTTATGAACTAAGGCTTATGAAATAAAATTTTAAAAAATGAGTTCACTTTTTCCACTGACAAACTTCCAACTTTTACTTCTTATGCTACTTTGCAAGTCAGATTGGAGAGGACACAAAGCCAAGATGTCCCACTGTTTGCTATGTGTCAATCAACTAATGTTCTTTTAGGAGGGAAAAGAGAATTTTAGCCTTTTAAGTCAGGACCAAGATAAAAGTGGCTTTTAAAGAGCAAGAACTAGAATGTCTGTCTTCTCACATCTCAAAGCCAGTAAGAGTTGCTGACATATACCACCTGTAAACCAGTTTGCTTACTACAAAATAATTTCAAGCCTAAATGCTACTACAGTACAGCTCTCTGAAGTCATAGCAAGAGGAAGACTCACCAATTGGCCAGTGTCTTAGGTTCTACAAATAATGATGTCTGGCTGGATAACAAAAAATGTAAGTACCCCAACAGCCGAACTCATCCTGATTGGCTAAGAAAAAGGCGAGCCTAAAAAACTGAGCAGTAGTACAGTACCTGTTTCATAATGGAAACAAGAATCACTGCTACAAAGGAACTTATAACCCACTCAGACTTTTAAAATGTCCTCTGCATACATTTTATATTCTAATTTTCACTTACCAAAAATGTACAGTAGAAAAGATCTAGATAAAAATCAATTTCATGACCCCCAAATTAAAAATAACTGAAAGTGAGAATTATATTGAGTTAATTTGAAGTCAGAGTCACAAGAAAAATAAATCCATATTTAAACCCTATTATATTTAATGACTTGATGTCAGTTTCCACTCGAGTGATAATCAGTTCATATTTGAGTTCTAGCTCACTGATGTATATCCATATGTGGAAACTAACACCATGCCACTGTTAATAAGATATGGGTTTAGAAATATGGAATTAAAAGAAACTTACCCTTTCCCTTTGTGCAGCTCTGACCTCCAACCCAGTTTCTATAGAAATAGGAGAACAAATGCCAGTAGACTGCCAATTAGAACTCATCTTTTAGTTGCTGCATAATAAAGCCAGATCCCAAAGTCGGCTATAGGTTTTTGATTGTCAGTAGTTCCTAAAAAGAAACCCAGGAGGAAAAAAGATATTTAACCAATTACTCTATTTAGAAATGCTCCCTTAACTTAGCTATTAAAAAATAGGGGAGAATCAATACCACATCTTTAAAGATTACTAGTGCTTAAATGCTCAAAAGATAGAAAAGGTATCTTTGAATAGTCAAAATACTTTTAAACTACAGTAAATGTATCACATAAAGTAATTCGAACCACCAAATCTTTAAAAAGTTCAAATCATTCCTGTTATGGAATGAATTTTCAGTAAGATTTTAACACCACAGAGAGTAAATTTCACAAATGCAATTTGTGAGCAGAAATAAATTTTACAATTAACTCTTCCTAAAATCTCTCATTGGAGAAGAAATCTATGAATTACAAATGAATCCATAAAACATTTTCCAGAGATGCTGAGACTGTTGTCCTTGAAAGAAAAGCCCTGTAAACCACATATACAAATTCAAAAATTTGGAGAGGTGAAAATAATCAGGTAGCAATTTTTTTACTAGATATCAACATGGTTGCTCAGCAAATGTATTTTAGAATCTTTTGTCACATAAATTTATACATTAAAAATATTACTGTATCTAAATTAACACATACAATTTAGACTATTCTCTAAACATTCATATTGATATCTTTATGTCACTGTGTATTTTAATAAATTAAATTCTTCATCCTGCTACATGAGGAAAGTTGACTTACAAAATTAGTATCATAGTACAATTGAAAAATAAAGGCTAGTAGAACCATACTTTGTTCCTCCCCCTACCCATCCCTCCGAAGAAAGTTTTAGGACCAGGGACATAGCTCAATGGTAGAGTGCCTGACCCTCAGGCATAAGGCCATGGGTTCCGTCCACAGAACCATAATAAAGGGAAAAAGTTCTAAACTTATCTCTACCAAAATTTCTAAGTCTTGTGGGTGCACCTATCAGCAAACACAGTATCTCCAATATGCCTATACTTACATTCTATCTCACAATGTGAAATAAAACAGAATGACAAGAAAAAATATGTACACATAATAAAATAATCAAGGACCACCAAAGCCAGACATGGTAGCACATGCCTTAATTTCAACCACTTTGGGAGGCTGAGGCAGGAGAATCACAAGTTCAAACCCTACCTGGGCAACTTAACAAGCCCCTGTCTCATAAAATAAAATAAAAAAAAAAATTTAAAAAGAGCTGGAGCTCTTTAAATACAGCTCGATGGGAAGGCCCTAGGTTCAGTTCTCAGCAACACACACAAAAGAGCCAATGACAGGAGCAGCAACAAGAGTATCCCCTCCCCATCTTGGTGACAGACACTACTAATTTTCTGGTCACTTAACGTTCACTACCTCAGAACTCTTCTTTTCATTGAAAAAAACATCTTTTTAAAATATGTCATATTAAAAATCACTAATGGACAAATCTGAGACTATTATATATATGGGAAAGATCCTAATTATCAATTTATCACATAGAACACTTGTGCTTACATATCTAAAGCAGTGTTTCTCAATCTTTTACCCGTGTTTGAGTAACCCAGGGCTCTGCCTCACTCAGCAAGTTAATGAGGAAGTGAAATTTCAAGTTCTAACATGCTTCCAGGGTTATTCTAATGTTGTTGGTCTGGGAACCAGGCTTCTGGTAGCAAGAATTCTAAAAGACTAATCAATATACATACTGTACTGAACCCAAATTATACACTGTAAAAGTCTTTGGTTTCATTTTCAAACAACCTTCAAAAGATTGAATGAATATAAGATGTGTTTCAAAGTCAGGAACCATGGTGTACACCTGTAGTTCCAGCACTTAGAAGGCTGAGGCAGAAGACTGCTTCGAGTTCAAGGCCAGCATGGGCTACATAGTGAGATCCTATCTCCAACAAACAAATGTGTCTCTAGACAGTCAACCCTGACTGTACGGTACACTCATTTGGGACACTTAAAAGAAAAAAATACATGAGGCTTTGTAGAGTCCCAGTCTTCCTAGATCAATTTAAATCAATCTCTGAGAAAGGTACTAATATTAAAGTTCCTCAAGTGGTTCTAATGTGTAGCCAGGGTGAGACCTCTGCCAAAGAATGCAAAAAATTCCAATACAGGAGTTTAGTTTACTGGAGTGTTTCTTTACATAAAAAATATACACAAGCTAGCATATAAAATACTCAGGAACTAAACAAATACATTTTATGGAAATAAATTTTCCCAATATGCCCTAAAATGCATAATAAAAAAACATATTTAACATCTCAAAATGTATTATAATTGCCTGAAATTAAAGTTCTACAGTGGACAAAGATATAACATATGCTTATAAATAAAAATTTTGAGGCCCAGGATTTAGCTCAGTGGCTTAAGCGCCTGCCTGGCAAGCACAAGGTCCTGAGTTCAATCCCTGGTATCAAATAAATAAATAAATAATTTTTATTAAGTCATTTTCCTGGATAAAAAGGAAATTCATTCATTACTTGAGAAAGGTCAGATAATAAATTCAATGTTTAAAAATCACATACACACATATCTGGTTTACACAGGATGACAGCTATTTCACAAAAAGGCCTGTAAACTTTTAGCAGGAAAAGTTTAGTTTGATACCACTAGAAAACCTACAAGTTATAAAATATAAAAAGCAGGGCCAGTGTCTTATCACAAACTATTTACTATAGTGAAAAACATCATGACAACTTATTAAAAGCAAAATATCACGCAGCATGCTAAAAAAAAAAAAAAAAAAACAACATACTACCTCTTAGAGATGAGTACCCAAACTGCAACTCCAAACCCATTTATTTATCACAAAGTGCCAACACTGCAATTAAACTCGAATATTGGGATTTTCACTTAGAAAAACACAACTCATGTATTAAATCTTTTGTCTAAAAAAAATACAAACACATGGGCCATAGGTTCACCACCACTGTACCTAGAAGGAAGACTGTTTTGAAAGCTCAGGGTACTCAACAACAGTAAGCCTAAAAAAAATTCTTATCATTTAAAGAACACTAAATCAGAACTCAGTGGCAGAGTTGTGTGCTTTGCATGCACAACGCCGAGTCCAATCCCCAGTACCCAATTCCCCAACAAAAAGATAAAAGAACACTACTGATCTCTGAAAAAGATATTTGAGGCCTTATAAAGTATTCTAAGAATTAATCTTCCTCAGTATTTGAAGTACATTTATATTAACTCCCTGAAACAAGTAGTCAAATCCTGGAGGGGGTAGGGGTTGCTATGGATTAAACCTCTTGCATGCTAATGATGTGCTGTACCACTGAGCTATATTTACCTAGTCTCAGGTAGTCAAATCTTGAGCAAATCCTCACATTCCCTTTTAAAATCTCCCATGGTTCCACTGTATCCAATATTTAGAATACAACCAAACCTTTTGTTCCAGGCCCCAAGGCTCTGACTTTATAGCTTACTACCTCACTTCTTCCATCAGAATATGAACTACAAAAGAAAAGAGAAGTTTATCTGTTTTCTTCAATATACTTCCAAGATACAGAATAATGCCTAGTATATAAGAGCTACCTAAATAATTGAAGAATTAACTGTACATATAGAATATAACAAAGCGTAGGTAATTAAAAATCAGAATTCTTTCAATGATTTACAAGACAAAGATATCTCTACTTATGCAGGTTGAGTATCTCTTATCTAAAATACTTGGGATCAGAAGTATTTCAGATTCTGGAGTTTTTTAGGTTTTGGAATATTTGCATAGACTTTACTGGTTCAGCATTCCTAAGTGGAAAATCTGAAGTATTCCTAAATCTGAAGCTTGAGTGTTAATATAATTGATAGATTTCAGATTTTGGAGCACTTTGGGTTTCAAATTAGGGATGCTCAACCTAGAACTTTTTCTGTCTCAGTCCTATTAGTGACCTAGTTTAGTAGTATAGATAATGCTTCATTAATAGAAACACCTTTCATGGGTACATATACATGCTCAATCCCAGAATGATTTTCATTTTAAGATAGATGACAGTCGCCTTATTTTTAGATTAACATCTGAAAATTCAAGGATATCTCAATCAGTTCCTACTTGTATATTCCTTATTCATGTCACAAAACTCTTCTGGTGTCCCTTTAGCATTTCACAAACAGTGTTTTTTCTTTGTGATATTGAGACATTAAATAATTACATGAATATAAAACTGTTACTTAAGCGACAATTTTAAGTGATAAATTCATGGCATTTTGTTTCCATTTCCCTGCTTGCTGTAAGAGTTTCATCTTCTGGAAGCTCTTCCTCTCAGTTTCTGAGACAGAACACTATTCTTGCTTTCTGAGCTAGACTTTTTTAGTGCCATAGTCTTTTATCATTTTCAAATACTTATTCCATACCTCATACTCCACACTATGGGCCCACTGACCACAGAAGGTGCTGAATTAATTGAGGAGCTTATAAAAGAGACTCTTGGTCCATGTTGATCCTAACAAATCTCAAAACAGCGAATAGCCTGCTTGTTTCCTGAGTTTCACAAATGTTGATTCACTGTAGTCTGAAATTCCCTGGCCATTTTCTCAAGTTTGTAGCTTTAATCCTATCCCTAGACTCCAAAATAAAGGTCATGAGGCACAACAGTATAATGACCAAAAGAGCTCTAGTTGAGATAAAGCCTGGTTAAAACCCTGGTTCTATCACTTAATAGTTGTCACATTACAGAATATGGTCAGACTTAAATGAAACAATGTGTATACAGTATTTGACAAGAGTATTTGGCCTGGAGTAGCAGTCAATAAATAATTGCTGTCAGACTATCTCAACTGATCATCTGTCCCCACTCCCATCTTCAACCTGGCTTCCCCTCCAAGATTTCCCATTTTTGCTGACCCAATCATCTTACTAGTTTTCCAGGCTTCAGTCTTCAGCTTATTTTCCCAAAACACCCACAATGAACAAGATGCTATATTCTTACTTGTGTTTGTCTGCCTGACATATAAACCCCAACCTCCTTCCACCATTTCATGTCCTTTTCTAACAAATTTTTTTATAAAACCTTTCTTGACCATCCCATCTTTAAGTAACCTAATATACCCGTATCTCTTGCAAAAATTCATTAGCAATTAATTTGATACTGACCTGTGATTTCCTCCCTATAATTATTTTAAACTGTATTTAGTATTCATTTATACCTACTTTCCCCAATTACAATGTTACTAATAGCTCTAGAGCTATCTGATCTTTCCTTTTATTTCCTACTTCCATCACTTCAGCTCCTATATATAGCCAGTATTCAAATGACCACAGAAACTTCAACTAGAAGCTGAATATTACATTCATTTCAGTTGCAGCAAGTTAAGTAATTTTTGTTAAGGTTTAAAGAAATTGTTATTCCGTAAGTTTGTCTGCTAAGAACTTAAAACTAGATCCAAGTTATCAAGTGAAAAGTATCTTTTAAACAGGAGAGCACCAAGAGAGTAAACTGGAGAGGCAGATGAAAGTGGTAAGCAAAGAGGCCATAATCAGATATGATATTGCTAAAAAGGAAAAAAAAAAGAATGCTGCATAAACCATAAGCACTAAACTTACTGCCTCAGATAAAGAAACTATAACCAATGATAGGACTTCAAAAAAAGTGGCACTTTATAAAATCTGGGTTGTTGACTATAGTCAGGGTAATTCTTATTTTCAATTTTAATACCACAGCCAAGATTTCAAAATGAGCCCAAGTCAATTCAACAGTGTTCCTAGAACTATTTCCTTTACATAAAGCTAAATTTATATCAGATAAAAGATACTGGAAAACCACACCAATACTTCAAAAGGGCAGTTTCCAATATATAAAATCAGAACTCTAGATCTAACACTTAAGCTAGTTTTTCCTTCATAGTGTAGCTTTCCCATTGCATGTCTATAGCCAAACAAATGCCCTGTTTGAAACACATTTGCATCATTTTTGAGAGATGAAGCCTGAGATCATAAGAAGATACCAAACACACAGAGTCATATAGAAAGTACAATGTGATTTGCTAAGCCTCAATGATGATTTAAAGTAACTGCTTACTAATTGGAAAAACTATCTGGACTAGCAAGAGAAAGAAAATGCATTCAAAATCTTGCAGATTAAATGTTTTAAAGAAACATAAGAAAAAATCATTTAGCAAAGCCTTTGATGGAACCACCTCAAAACTTTTTAAAAAATACACCTGAAAAGGACACACTGAGACCATTAAAATTCTTAATGTCTGTTTTACCCCTTTTACTCTCTGAAAGTCTGGCTATGTGAGATGTCCAGTTCAACAATTCAAAGGGTTCAACCAAACCTATGGAAAAAGTAGCTTGTACAGATCAGCTACTAGTTACCAGATTCTGTAAGTCTTCTGGAAGAGATGAAAAATACCCTATTAAAAAAATTTTACCCCATTTCATACAAACCAAGGAAATCTGAGCTATATTACATACCACAGAAATTATATTGTGATAAGCTATCAAAGTCTCATACTTGATTAATGTGGGAGGAGGCTCAGAAGGTTGGTAGGACTAACTAGAGAATAAAAATGCTAAGAGCAGACAAAAGTCAGACTTTTTTCAAACTGCCTTTTCATTCATTTAAAGTTGCAATTTACTGACATTATGATTGGTCTCTTTGTAAGAAAAAAGCATTGTGGCTAATATCTATCACTCTCAATCAGAAAAGAGTGGCACTCTTTCTTTGTGATTGCTATATACTGTAATATTCTTAACTTTCAAATTTAGAATGTTTACAAACGAACATGTTGATAGCAGTAAGCCCTCCTGCACCATTAAATCACAACAAAAGGCAAAGACTAAGATTAATGAAAAATATCAAACATTTTAAAGGGCATCAAAGCCCTAGTTCCCAAATTCTTAGTTAAAATTTTAAAATTTTGGCTTCCCATTAAATGATTTTTTTTTAAACACAAAAATAAAGAATGAAAATAAAATAAAGTAAAATAAAAGTTCTGGCCTAGAATTTTGCAAATATGATACCTCAGACAGAAGGAAACTAGTAATGGCAACAGAATGCCCAGACTTCCAACCAGAGAAACACATTTGAAACAATAAAAGCCCTCACCCTATTAATTATTATGCATTTTTGATCTCTAAAAACCCTCTTACCTGTTTACAAGTTTATACAGCTGTTTGCCACTGGAACACCACCTTGCAGAGTATAACCGTGGCATCCTTGGTTGATAATCACCTGTTGCCTAGCAATCATCATTCCCACATGGAGACAGACAGCACTAGGGTCTTCCATCCGAGGTTAAAATTCAAAACAAGCCCAACAAGCCTGCATTTCAAGGTGGTCTTCGTCTGCAACTAGTTTAGTTTAAAACTGGCAAACAACAACCATGGTGTCTGAAGCCACTGGTGCAGCACTGCTGGCTTCCTCTTGAACTCCAGCGTTGTCACTGTGCACCGAAGTCTGCTGCCAACAGGGGAGTTGTTCTCCTGTACTGGGAACAGGCTTCCAAAGCTCAAGAGCCCCTGTACAGGATAATGCAGGAACTAAAGGCAAACACTTTCTCCTCCTTAATGATGCCTCCATTTTTTTTTCCTCACAATCTGTACTACCAACCGAAGTGACTGGGCCTGGGTGTGCGTTCGTACCTATGAAACCGTCACGGTGCATGCACATCCAAGGCATGTGGAAACACAGGTCAAATAAGGTACAGATACCAAGTAACGGTTCTAATTACAAACGCTAGCTCTCAGGAACTCTTCATCCATTCAGAACTAAACCCATCACTGCATAACTCTGGTAAGAAGCCCCTGGAGACGGAAGAGCTCCTCAAATGTGTCAGGAAAGGCTTTATTAACATCATCATTAACATTTAAAAAGCAAACGGAGTATTTCTCCTTCTTTTGGCAATTTGGTGCAAATGTTAAAAGTGCAAGATAAAGCAATTTCAAACTTCTCTTCAAATTAAAAATGAAACTAAGGCCAAACGTGATGGGTGAACAAAATAAATCAAAACTTAAATTCAGCAACTCCAGCTCTTCAAACCAGCAAAGCCCCCGACTCGTGCACTGTGGTGAGGCTTAGGGTGCTTGCCCCCGGCTTCTTGTGTGCCAGCCAACAGCACCATTTCCTCATCACGTTGAGGACCGAGAAGCAAAGGATCCCCTTCACTGCAAACAAAGGGGGCCACGGTAACACTAGTGATCCTTCAGAATTGACACACCGTGATAGTCAACATGAAATTGATGGTCTCCCTGCTTCTTGCTCAAGACATACAAGATCTGAGCAGCAGCAAGTACCCCCTCGGCTGCAAACAAAGGGGTCAAGGTTTGCCGTCAATTCACTTCCAGGCAGAAAAACATTTTCCTCAAAAGAAACAATTTATTTAGAATAAAACAAAAGCAGCTCAACTGTGAGCGCATGTTTGAGTGACAGCTACTTTTAAGCTGTGTGAGCCATAAAAAGGGTTTTTCTTTACTTTTCCAGAAATCTTGTGTACACAGCACAAAGCAAAGAGGTCATTTTTTTTCCACTTAAAACACCGGCATTGGCATCACAATAGCAGATACACAACGTTAAGCTGCCATTTTAGTAAAATGCACAAATACTAAACAGATTAGCTTTCTTCCATCAGAGGCCCATGTAAACTCCACATAAGCTACAACTTCTCTTCAAAAAGGTCCATTAGAGCTCTGAATTCCGTATCTTCATCCGCTGTTCACCAGTTTTGCTTGCAGGGGGGGGAAAAAAAGGTTATTCAGTACAAATGTTTACAATATTAAAAATATATATATATATTTCCCCTATGCATTATAGATGAACATAATATTAACAAGACCTTTCTGGATAGTCCACCTTGACTTCAAAAAAGCACCAATAATACCCACTGGCACAAACCTTGAAATGAATTTACTGTATGGATAGACAGCTAACAAGTGAACTAACAGGGTGAGTTTTTCTTTTTAATGATTGCAATTGAGTATTTTAGGACTGAAAATATCCCTCATCCTCATACAACTGAGTAAAACATGGCAAAAATTTTCAGAAAAAAAAAAGTTTACAATCAACCAGTATCTCTTAAATATAACTTAAAAAATGAAAACATAAAAAGGTGGAATTTAAACTTTTACCCTCTCTACATTCATTCTGTAATGTATATGGAGTAATAGGCTACTACTCCATTATTGTAGGAAAGGGCCAAGATACAAAGTCATTTAAAAATCCACCTTCATCTATGTTACCAAAAACAGTAGATGTTATTTTCTGTTAAGAAAAGTTACACAGTTGCTGAGCAGTATAAAGAACACTTCAGGACTCTCATTTTTCAACTGTTTAAATTGCATACATAAACACTTCATTAAGTTTCACATACCATAGGTACCTGAAATCACTTTCCCTTGTAAAGGACATCACTATAACCAGAATATTAATAGCGTCAGTTGCACTTCTCTTCTTGCTTTCATACTTAACTCCCATCTCAAAATTAGACACTGTGATACAGACTGAAAAGTCCAGAAATTCACTCCAAAAACTGTTTTCTCATAAAAGGTCATTAAGGTCTTAAGAGGATATCCTCTTATGAGATTTTGGTGAATGGTTCCTATATGGGCCCAAACTAAACAGTTCAAGCTGTGACTGCAAAGTGAGCAATTTCATTATCTTAAGACTGAAAATGGGCTTAAATTTCCAGAAAAAAAAAGTATAATCAGTGAACATTTGCTCATAAAATAGTTTTTATGCCAGCCAGAGGATGGACATTTTCGAGATGTAATCCTAAAGGAAAAATCTACTCTAGTTCACAGTCATCCTAAACCCGAAATGTAAGTTTCCATATGAAAAAATTCTTTACAGGAATCTCAATTACAATTAACAAAATATTACCAAAACATTTAAGTAGAATTATTTGCTAGGAATTGCATGCTTAATCTTCCATAAACTTTGATGTTGTGGTCTTAAAGTCTTAATTACATTGTTTTTACCAGTAATACTTAATAATTTAATGAAACACTGAAGAAATTTTCTCTCTCTTCATTTTAACCGAGTTCCTAAAAAAATCAGTTACACTAAAGAAATTCAAGAAAAAACATTTGGATGCTACAAAATCATCCAGTGCTGAGTTATGAAATTCTGAGTATTAGGAACCACTTTTAGACTTTTGCTTTCAATTCAATTTCTGAAGGTTTAAGTAGATAATTTACAAATATTTTGAACCTGAACAAGATTAGGTAACACAAGAGATTCATCTGGACAATGGTACTCTGTAGGTTAAGTACCAAATTAAACATCATTAATTTTTTATAATACATACATTTAAAAATGGTATCAAGCCACTGTTTCAAAAACATTCAAGCGCAGAATTGCCCAGGTCTAACAAAATCAGCAATATCAGATAAGGATTCAAACAAACATGGAGTAAAAGCCACAGTGCTCTTTAATAAACTATCACACCAACTTAAGTTAAAAAAAAAAAAAAATTAAAAAGGGAAACCCCACACACATTTTGGTTTATAGTAAAATCAGATGCCATGGACTTCACTCTCTAAAAGAGTAAAATCATTTGTCTTATCAAAAGATATTCAAAAGTTAATGGTTAGTGAAATTATTTAAACTGGAAAAATGTATCTAGCTACAACTGTACTTTGACCCAATGGATACAGATTCCATACCTGCATTAGTTTCTAAATGGTTTCTGCTCTATATGAAGTACTGCTTTTGGGAAACAAAAGGCACCCAAAGTCTTAGCTGTAGGCATAGTAAGCAGCTTTGTGCTCATAGTCTAGTATTCTCTTTCTCTCAAAATGGCTAGTTTTTCCAGTTTAAAAATGAAAAAACAAATTTTTAAAAAATGTCCAAATGCAAAATCAAATTCTGAAAGGATGACACAGTAGTGATGAGATTTTCATGCAAACATGCATGAGACACCTGTCATAATGGAAATAAAAATTATATGACACTTCCCTGGGTTATTATTGGTGCTATTTCAAAACCACCAACTTTGATAACAGAAAGAAAACAGTTACTGAGTTCTGCCAGGCTTTGAATAAGTCACTTTCACAGAAAAACCTGACCATAATCCAGAAGGTTCCAAAATTCCTAATCATACCTAAATATCAAGGGCCTAAAGTCCTCACCACTTAAATCAACGGAGAAAAATATACTTACTAGTGACCTGAGGAATCAGGGGTGGTGGCAGAGAGTAGGTAAAAACAAAAACAAAAATAAAACAAAAACCATCCATTACTGTGAAACAGTATAAGCCCTTGCTAAGAACCAAAAGTTATATCATTCTCAGCACAGAGAACAAAAAACAAACACCCAAAAAACTAAAAACAACAACAAAACTCAAAAATTCAAAACTAAAACGAAACAATAAACTGTGGGTGGGCTAAATTATAATTATTACAGGTATCTGGGCAAACAATAAAAAAGAATTTTACTACACTGACATTTCAAATCTCAATGGCTGAATGACAGTGAAAATATTAAGCATGAAATTTCAAAACTATTCAAAACATTTCCAATAATGTAATGTCACCACTGTTGTTTAAATATGAAAATAAAAATACCAGCAAGTTTTTTAAAAAACTGTATTAAAGGCATTTTACACAGACTTTTTAAAAAAATTCTGCAATCCAGATATGGCTGATTAATGCCCACTGAAACAAAAGCCTGAAGCCAACTTTTCTATTACTGAAAGCAGAGATTTGAATGGATACAAAAAACAATCATTTTGATGCAGAATATTTGTTTCAAAATATGCACAATTAAATGTGAACTGTACCTGCTGTGCCTCTGAAAGTCAGTAAAACACCACCACACACCTATAACTGACTAAAAATTCTGATTTTATAAGCACCTACTCACTTTCTTGCATACTAGTCTAAGCATAAGACATAAATGGCTTGTAACACAGTCCTCAATTTTTACCGAACAGTTACAGCTACAAACCAAAAGTGCACATATGGGATACAAAACTCAAGAGCTAATGATAAAAATGCATGTAAAGCCAACTTTCCTGGAACAATCTGTATTTTAAGAGAAATAATCAAATGCCTGATTAAAATAATTAGGCTGCTAAACAATTTAACTGTGTATATTTCTGAGATCCCTGATCAAATTTCAAGCATTATTTACATATCAATGAATCCATATTGACATCTCTTTATATGGTTAGAAGCCTCTTTTGTTCAAATTCTGATTTTTTCAAACTTCTGGCTTTGTAACTTTGAGGCTTTTTTAAGCTCAAGATTAGAAGAAAAAAAAAAAAAGAAAGAAAACATTACTCAATATAGGAACTCTTAAAGCAAATCCATCTTCCTGCAACCTTAAAGACTTCCCTTTCACTTAACTGCTAAACTGTTCTAATTTGTTTTAACGAGGTTTATAAAAATATAAAAAGAAAAAAGCTACAACTAAACAATTAAAATTTCATCTGATGCTGTATCCCATTACACATCACAAAACAGAAACCATGTCAAAGTAGTAAATACAAATTACACATGGATTTTAGGACGCACCACGGACAATGATCATGACCAGGTAATCTTCTTCAGATTTGGCCAGTGCCTTGGCAGGGGAATCCAGGAATTGCTGGGAGAACTCACAAGGTGGGAAGGCATGAAGGACCCCGGTGTTTTCCTTGTCTTTGTTGCCTCCAACAGGGAGGCTAATCACCCCAGCTGCCTGCTTTTGCTTTAAATAGGACACAAGGTTCCTAAGTGGCCTCTGAGTAGAGGTGGCAGTGTCTGATGTGGCTGATGAAGAGGATCTGCTGTCAGAACTTCCAGGTACAGCCAGAAGAATGGCATAACCATTGGGCCCTGCCACTTTGATGCGCCGGGTTACTTCATCCAATTTGGGTTGGTCCAAACGAAGACGCTGTGTGATCTTGAGCTGGGCTACTTTGCCTCCAGTTGAACCTTCAACGAGAAGACTGCTAGCCACTTGGAGATCACCCTGCAACAGATGCATGTTGGAAGGAAAGTTGCTGTTCTTCAGTAGAAGCATGCCCTGCCAGGCCAAACATAGTTTGGGAGAAGCTGTTGCAGCAGGGGCTGACCCCCCATCCTGTTTCTGGGAAGGAGATTTCAGCTTCGAGGAAGCAGTACTGGCACTGGGTACACTACCATCAGAGCGGTCTTCTTTTTTCAGAGGGCTTTTTCCCTCAGTGGGAGCAGCTGTCCGGTGCTTCCTATCCCGTTCAACTGATGCGGAGTTTTTCCGGTCTCTCTTGTCACCCTGGCTCTTCTCCAAGCTACCTCGCCTGTCTCTGATTGGTGAGGGTCTTTCCAAGAGAAGAACACGGGAAGATCGATCATTGTCACTATTGTAACGATCCCTGCTACTGCTCAGTTCTGGACTACGGTCAGGAGAAGGTGCACAGTGACGTTTTCGTGGCCGCTCACTCTCAGGAGACCTATCCAAATGCCGTATGCCACTCTCCTCAGGCAACCGCCGCTTCCTAGGCTGGTCTCTGCTGCTGGGCAGATCTCGATCACCTCTATCACGGTCCAAGGACCAGCCATCCCGCCTTCTATCCAAGCTATCCAGTGACTCATAAGCAGTCACAGCAGTAGCAGCAGTCCGAGTGCTACGCTCTCGGACTGGGGGAGGGGGTGGCACCCAGTCAGAATCAGGATAAAGGTCCCTGTCACGATCTCTGTAAAGTAGAGGTGGTGTTCTATCCCGAGCACCCCTCAAAGGATCAGGTGCCCGATGTCCAAAAGCATCTGTCACCAGTTCATAATGAGTCAAGGGCAGAGGCTGCAGATACTGCTGCTGGTAACGATGCTCTGTGTCTGCAAAGTCTACTCTAAGACGACGATCTGGGCCACCAAGAGGGAATCCTCTCATATGGGTCCAGGCAGCATGAGCTGCATCCAAGCTTTCGTACTGGATATATGCCCAACTATCACCTTTCCGGTAGTCTATTGTGCGTATGGTGCCAAATCGGTCAAATTCACGTGCCAGGGCAGCAAGAGGAACCCAGGGTCCCAGGCCACCAACCCAAAGGCGGGTGGTGGGTGTAGCCTTACCATAACCGATTTTGATAGGATTCCGAATTATAATCTTGCCAGACATAGCTAGTTTGGCCCGGTGAGACATGTCTAGGTTCTCAAATTTGAGAAAGCCATAGGTACTGGTCTGTCCACGAGAAGGCCTCTTGATGTCTACTTCTGTAATGACTCCAAAGCGATCAAAAGCCCTTCTTAGATCATTCTCTGTCACAGTAATGTCTAGGTTGCCCAAGAAAAGCGTCCGATTAGCCCGCTGATCATCCTCGGGTGAAATCTCATCCACGTCTCGGAAAGGAGCAGCACTCGCTCCAGCTCCCACCCGTGGCTCAAGACTATATGCTGGGCGCACTCTCTCATAGAACGGGTAATCACGTTCTCGCTCCAGCTCTCGGGGCAATGGTGGCGGAGGTGGAGGGGGCAGGCGGCCAAGAGCCAGCTGCTGCAACCGGTAGTCTCTGTATCCCAACGCAGCACCGCCAGGGGAAAGTGATCTCTGGCCTCCACCGCCTCCTCCAGCGGGGTGCCGGTGACCACCTACTGAGGCCCCGACCACACTGGCTGAAGGAGGGTAAGTATCTTTGTCTAAAGGGGAGCGGCTGCGGCGCCGGCTCACATACACAGCTTCTATCTTCAAGGGCCGGTCATAGAGCACCAGGCGGCCTCTGGCATGCTTGGCCGCCCGCGCGTCCTCTGGCCGCCGGAAGTTCACAAAGGCTACCCGTTCATCCCCGCTGCCAGAACCTGAGAGATGACTGATTTTGACACTTACATCACCGAAGCGTTTGAACTCATGAAACAATCCGTCCTCCACCGCTTCGTCACTCAGCTGGGACCCCAACTCGCTTATTTTCAGAGTCTTGTATTCCCCGCCTTCCCCGCCAGGAGCAGAGGAGGCGGCCCCCGAAGACCGTGACTCCCCGCCTCCACCCCGGGAGCTGCTGCGCGACTCGCCCCCGCCCGAGGAATTTTTGGTGCTTGGAGAGCTGTAACTGTGCAAGCGGCTACTGGAGCTGCCCCCACCAGTGTCATACTCGCGGCTGCCACCTCGGCTGCTGGTCTTGTCCAGGTGAAGGCTCCGCCGCGACCCACCGCCGCTGTCCGTCTTCCCGCTACTGCTCCCATTGCTGCCGCCAGAGCCTCCTAACTTCTTGCTCCGCTCCCCGCGGGAAGTCGAGTCCTCACCACCACGGGAGCGTTTGGGTTTAACTGGCGAGCGCTCTTTTCCTTTCATTGTCGCGGGTCGTCGGAGATCCTCTCCGCGGAGCTGACTAACCCGCTGCCCCGCGCTCGTTTCACACAGCGGAACCGCACGCCGCCATCTTGGACTCCGCCGCGGTAAAGGATCCCGCCCAGCAGACCTCATTGGTCAATTGGCTCGCTCTTCCACAGTCTCATTGGGAAAAGTATTTGTCTGTCTTTACATCTCCCCGCGCTCGGGGCAGGCGCACGCCCCTCCACTTTTATTGGGTTCCCAACGCCCGAGTCAGAACACCTCATTGGTTATATTCGTTGTCTATCTTAACGGTTCCTCGCGCCAGGCTGTAGCTCCACCCCTCACAGTTTATGGCCACCTGACCCAAAGTCTGGAGGTGTTGATTGGACAAAAAGTCTGCCCTGTAACGGTACTTCTTGCACGGAGGAGGCAATGATCCCACCTCCTCATCCTTTTCATTGGTTTGCGACCCCGTCCTCTAACCCACTATTTGGGAAGTTGTATCATCCATCCGTTCTGGCGTTTTTTTTCTTGCGAGCTTAGCTCACACTGACTTGCGAGAGACAGACAGCCTTTGCACGCGCGCTTTCCCCCTCTTTTGACCCCTTTCTTCCAACTTCTTCGGCGGCTGAAAGAAGTTTAAATCTGATTGGAAGTTGACAATGAAGTGATAGGCTGAAATAACTGTCCATCACTTGCTTAAAGGGGTAGGCACAGACTTACCGAAGGTGAAAACCTAGAACGCACGCTTGTTGTGCGACGTCACTTCAAGTGTCGCGAGATAGATACTGAGGCGAACCCGCCTCCCCGCGCTTTCAGCGTTCTCTCAAATGTCTGTTCCGTCCTGTGGCGTGCTTAGTTGTGCTGGGGCCTTGGGATCTTGAAACTTCCGAGCTTCCCCCACCTTCCTGCCGGTGCCGGCGCAAGAGGGACAGGGTAGTCCCTCTGGCTGTCGCGGCCCTACATTCCCTTAGGAAGTTGTCTTCGGGCCGGAGGCCAACACCATTTTAGTCCCTCCAGCCGCCGTGCCAGCGGCCTGAAAAGCCCCACCCCCGCCCCCGCCCCGAAGGCACCGCCCCTGGCTTGAGATCCGGAGGACGGGGGCGGGAGCTCGGGGGTTCACGGCCCCAGGTCACGGGGACACCTGGAGTGCTACTGCGACGCGAGCCTCCAGAGCTAGGAAGCAGCTCCGCGCGGAGGGTTGCTGCTGGTTCCAGCTCAAGTCCCCAAAGTAACGGGGTGAGCGAAGCTTCTACCTGCGACCAACCGTGAAACCTGAACTGAAAAGCACTGCTGACGGGTCTGGCGTCCTGTTTTATGTTGCGAGTCTGTGGATTTTATATTCTATAAAATTACATCGAATGCAATCAGATAAATTCGCTTTTATTATGTGATGCTTCTCCCAAGCATTAATCCTAGTACTCTGGGAAGCTGAGTAACGAGGATTGCAGAGTTAAGCTCAGCCTGGGAAACAACGATTTAAAAACACCCTGTCTCAAAAAGTTTTTTTAAGGGCTGAGATTGGAGCTCGTTCGGATGGGTTCAATCCCCTGTGCCCCACCCCCACCCCGCGCCCAGACTACTAAAATAAAACTTGGTTTAAGTCTTAGCATAATGTGTTCAATATTATACAATTGTCTTTAAATATTGTATAGATCATATAAATATATATACACATTTGCTTTTTATATTTTCAGGGAAATTTTACTTAACCACATAGAAATGGTAGGTTACTAGAATTGCCTTCTGGAGGGAACCTAAGGATCTGGAGTAAGTGTACATACTGAAAGAACCCTTTTACCCTCCTCATGCTATTACTCTTTGAGGGGAAAAAAGCAATTGGTTTTTAGCCTTCGTAACTATTTTCATGGGAAAAAAGTTTTAAATACAGAAGTACAGTACTTTACCCACGTACCAAACACCCAGTTTCAACAATTATCAGATTATGTCAATGGTGTTTCAATCTGCATACCATTTACCACTCTCCCCTGCTCTGTTATTTTGTTTCAGGCTTATCTGATCTATTACTTGCCTCAGGCATGGAATCTGCCATTCTTCCAAAGAGTTCTGGTTTCTTGTTAGTGGGAAATGGTATTGAAAGATAAAAATCTGGACCTTAGGAGATAAAGCACAATTGTAAAACTATAAAATAAAAGAAAAAGCTTTACAGAAAGGTTCTAATCTTTTTCAAAGTTATATAAGTAGGGTTAATCCTTTATCTGATTATTTTATTCAGTCTATAGCCAATTTGGATAAAGACTGCAAAGTGACTATTTTGGGCATAAATTGACCTGTATAGATGACTCGTTGATCAAAAGAAAGATAAGGACCTGTGAGTATAGTTTCTCAAACCTCATGACAGTCGTTTGAGAGAACATAAAAGAGAATTCAGGGAGCTAAACAGGCAGGACTTGAGGTATGCTGGGCTTCCTGGCTGACACTTGGGAGTACCTGGAAGTGTCATAGGAATTACTGCTCACAACCAGAAGTCTTGCCTAAAGGCACTGGTAGCCTCCCTGGGGCCAAAAGAACTGGTAAATTTAACATGGTAGACAGAAAAGGTCATTACCCAGGAGCAAAATTGAATGTAGCCTGTGATGTGTGTTTGTATGTCAATGCTAGAACAGAGTAATGACATAAAGTGTTGGATCTATCTAGTTAAAATAAGTGATTTGCCTGTTTTCATTTCCTTTCTGTACTTTGTGCTTCTTGTGTCCATGATACTGCTTGAGCAACCTGTCTGTTTATGCACTCTGGAGAGTCCTGGGAGGGGGTAAAAGTGACCTGTGGGTTAGAGTAATGATGCCAACCTTTCAGAGCTTTTCAATGATGACAAACAGCCTGTTGTGGCATATGTGCCATACATTTGCCACTTATTTAGAGGATCAGGTGTATTTTCTTTTAAGGTGGTGATGAAGTCCCTGAGGTACAATGCAAGTTTTCTTTTGTCTCCTTGTGATCAACAGCCAGATTTGTGAGGACAGCTGACCTAGGTGAGGAGAATCTTTCAGTGGTTATGAAAACAGAGAGAAACCATCAAAAGATTCCCTGAACATCATACTGTATATTGCTTAGTCTCTCCTTTTTGTGCCCCACCGAAAAAAAAACAAGAAATAGTGTTGAGGAGAAGCTGCTATGGCCCATTTTGGCATCAGTATTGGTCCCTTGGAGCTGTACAACTTGCAGGCCAAAGGACACAGCCCAATTGTCATAAGTAACTTTGTCTATAAAGTACTTTTTCCATCTCATTTAAAATCAATTATATATTTAAAGCAAAGTTGTGTTCATAGATGAAAATTGCAGTTTTTAAATATCAGTGTGTTTTCAATCAAATGCTCTTTTTTCACCCTCATTTTTCCTAAATTTTATTGTTCGTGTATCCTCAATACACAGACAATTATGATTGCAATGTGAAATGTATCTTGGGACCTGGAAACCATTTCATTTCCTGGCAAATTCAGAAAGGCTAAAGCTGGGAATTGAACATTTTTCCCATTCATAATAGTAGATTAAAATTTTCTGTTTTATCTCCCTTCATAAAGTGAGCCATCTCTTGACAGTGAGGTTTGTTTCATTTGGCTTGCAGGAAAAGTGTATTTTACTGAAAAGCATATATTAAATTCCTAAAGTAGCACACGATCATTTAGGAGCCCAATTTGCAAAATAAATACATAAAATAGCTGGATGTGGTGGCACAGACTTGTAGTCCCAGCTGACTCAGGAGGCTCTTGGCCTGGGCTACATAGTGAGTTCAAGACTAGCCTGAACTATACCAAGATACTTTCTCAAATAAACAATTAACAATATTAATGGACCCAACTTACATTACAGAGTGACTTACTTGTAGTTTATAAAACACCTTTATTGGTGAATATGACTTATATACCACAAATTTCACTCATTTAAATTGTACAATTTAGTGTTGTATATGTGACTCCTCTGTTAACATTATAGTAAGCATTGTGTTATAATTTCTTCATGACTAAGACCTAATATAATTAACTTTCACTTATTTAGACATCTTATGATTAAAAACACAAGCTCAGACTCTAGAAGCATCTAGCCTGAATTAGATCCTGGCCCTGCTGTGGGCCTAAGAAGAGTTACTGTTAACCTCTCTGAGCGTTGTTTTTTTCAATCTATAAAATGAGAATAATAGTAGAATCCCCTCACTTAGAGGACTAAATGGGTTAAAATATCTTAAGACCTTAGAAACAGTGCCTGAAACATGGTAGGCACCATGGAAATATTTGCTAATACTAATGTGTTTTCTCCTTGAACCTAGACATCTAGAGTTGGATTAATCCTAGTCCTTAGTTCATAGCATAAAATCATTTATGGTTCATCCATAAACCTTTACTATGTCTCATTACCAAGAACATAACAATGTAGCACTCAAAGAAATAGAAAATTACCAACAATTTACATCTACCTAAGGGTCCCTTTTCATACTATCTGTTGCTTATGCTCATAGTCATCCTGAATCTAGTATTTAGAAGACTCTGCTTCTTTAAAAAAAAAATCTTTAAAGAGTTTTTGGGTTTTTTTTTTTTTTTTGTCTTTTTCGTTTTTATCGGTACTAGGGATCGAACTCATGACTGCCTGCTTACAAGGCAGGCGCTTATGCCGCTGAGCTAAATCCCCAGCCCCAGAGTTTTTACAGATACTTTAAAGAGTTAATGTGTATATTTGCACACATGTACATACCTGTGAATCTTAAAAGTATATGCTTTTAGGTTTGCTTATACTTTAAACAAACATATTTCAACATGCAATCTATGGTCCAAGAATTGTGTTTTTCATTCATTACATTACTACAATTTTCTGCATAGTACACAAGGCTATAGTCTATTTCCACTGCTGTAAAATTTTTTGTAATATTGAATATACCACCATGTATATATCCACTCTTTATTTGATGGGCATATAGACAATTTACAGGATTTATACTTTTATAAACAGCAATGCTGTGAAGATTCTTATTCTTATCTCCTAGCACAGGTGCAAAAAGCATTTGTGGGTAGGCTGGAGAAATAAGAGTGGTGAATACCTAGGAATAGAATCACTGGATTAAAGGGTTTACTGAATATCATTCCACATAACATAGAATCTTATTTATTTATTAACAGTACTGGGGATCTAATCTAGGTCATTACCTCTGAGCTACAACCGCACTCCTTTTTTTTATTTTTTATTTTGAAACAGGATTTCACTGTGTCTCTAAATTCCTTCTACTGGGTTTGAGCATTTTTACTCCTGCCTCAATCTCCTAGAGTCCTGGGGTTAGAGGTGGGTGCCACTATATCCAGCTGTCAAATTGTTTTTGAAAGTAATGTTTAGTAATTTATTGTCTCACCAACAATCAGTGAGATCTTATTGATCTATATCATTGGCATTTCTTTTTTTTAAACCAAAAACAATGTTTCCCTGTGGTTTCAGTTTTGTTTCCTTTACTGCTAGTAAAATTGCTTATCTCTTCATTTTTTACAGGCCATATACGTATTTCTTCATCTATGAAATATCTATTGTGTCTTTGGTTCCTTTATTGAGTTGTATATTATTCATATAGGGTCTTCATATACTCTTGTTTCTCATCTTTTGTGGGGCATATATGTGGCAGATATCTTCCATTTGTGGCTTACCTTTTCACTTAATTTAAGCTGATATTTGATAAATAGAAGCTTGTAATTTAAATCATTGATTTTATCAACCTTTTATAGTTAGTACATTTTACTATATCTTGTTTTTGTTTTTTGTTTTATGAGACAGTCTTACTATATAGTCTAGACTGGTCTTGAACTCATTATGTAGCCCAGGCTGGACTTGAACTTGTGGTAGTCCTTCTGTTTCAGCCTCTGGAGTTCAGGGTTTACAAGTATGTGCCACTACAACTGGCTTGGTACTTTTGATCTTGAAACTTACGATTTTCCTGTTGCACCCTTCCCTATAGTAGGGATTCTACCATCATGCTGAGTTTTCTGTGTAAGCAACCATATAATCTACAAATAATAAGAATATTTTTTCCTTTTTAATCCTCATTATTTGATTTTATGGTCTTAATAAC